CTCAGGACAGTCCGTTCTTCCCTGGTGAATGCTGGAGAAGCTTATTTTGCGATCATCAACGTCTTGAACATGTTTGCTTTGCCAGACAGATGAGCCCTCTGTGATTGGGGGAGAGACTCCGCAAACTGCCATGGTGATGGGTAGCTTAGGCTGCCAAGTACTAATATGACCATGGCATCTCCCGCTGACTGTGGCATCGCTGGTATCGAAGCGCAGGGGGGACATCATCCCCTTCGACCTGGTCAAAGAACGGCACGCAAGAGACAGCGATGCCAGCTTGGTTCAGTGCTGAAAAGTTTCGAGCACACATGAGCACACAAGAACAGCACGGCGTGACATGTCAGGAAGTGCTTCTTCATGCGACAACGGGTCGGCTGTAACAGCTTTGTGGAATTGTTTGGATGTCTTGAGTGAAATCCCGGTGTGCCCTCCATTCTCTAAGGCATGTGGAATGTACACTGATGATTGCGTGCTCTTCTTAGCCTCGCAACCTACCGAAATGCGGAGCTGCTGCACTTGCGCTGTGCCGTTGTACAATGCTGACTCGAGGAGATGACGGTGGGATTGGTGAACGGTCTTCTCACCCATGGTCTGCAGATTAGCTAGATGCCTAGCCCCAGCATGCCCTAGCTGCGTTTGCACATTTTTGCGCCAGGCTTTGTTGTTAGGAACTCTTCTGGCCTAAGGTGCTGATGACATGCTCCAGTCTTGGCAGGACCGTGAGCTGCCGATCCAAAGTACATTCCTCCTTCTTGTGCTTAAAGGCCCGAGAACGTGAGAGCCCGTCTGAGTCGGCGCGTCGTAGGCCGAGTGGGACTTGGCCAAGAAGCGCCCGCGCCCTGCACCTCCCGGAGCAGAAAGGCACGGCGCAGCCCTCAGAGCTCTTCAGCAGAGGGAAAGCCCCTTTCCATGTCGGGCCCAGTGACCCAGGCCATGGCAGCATCAAGGGATACTTCCGGGGATTTCGTGAAATTGATGAGGCTGGCGCAGGTCACCTGTAACCTTCATCAAAGGGGGGCTGCTACTGCATGGCATGGGAGGTCCGCAGGCTTCAATCGAGCAAGGAAGACCCGGGCAACGCTCCCCCAATGCGGGTCACCATCTTAGCAGTCTTAGCATGCACAGCACCATGGGGTTCCCTACTCATTGAGAAATTTTCGAGGCACTGCCATTGGCCTTCATTGAGAACCGCTCCGTGAGAGAGCGGCGCGGCTCTCAGACTGTTCAAACAAGCTGATGATGCTACCAGTTACCAGTGACAAATGAAGACCGCCAGCTTCCATGTAGCAATAAGAGGCTGTCGGTGCTGAATGCAAACTCCACGCCCTGGCCTCACTTTGTTGGTGTTTCGCCTTTTTGGCTTTTTCCATTTGCTTCATGATGTGAATCGGGAAGGCATCCGCATGCCCGTGCACGTGCAGCGAGCTATCTAATCACGGAGGCTCCATCATCCAGCTTTCGAATGATTTCGATCGTTTTTGTTTCTACGTGCTTCCAGCAAGGTAGCTTTAACGCTACGCGACCCGCCTCGGCCCAGCGCATCCGCGTGAGCATGGTGACTCCGCAGCGCCCAAGTCGCTGGAGGCTCAAGGTTCAAGGTTCAGGGTTTAGGCGACGCCCTCACCAGAGGCAAAAACGGGGCAGGGGGGGGGGGGGGCAGGAAGGCAGAAAGGGGGGGGGGGCAGGAAGGAGGGACCTGCTGGGCGGGGCTTCGGCTGATCCTGGTCCTGGCGCGCCGTCCGCTTTCGGCTCGTGGTTCCAGGCAAAAAAAGGGGGCCGACATGGGGGGGGGGGGTGGGTAGTCCTTTCATCAACCACAACCCAGCCTTGACCACAACCAGACGGTCCCTCCTGCAACTAGGCCTGGATTTGCGAGAACCGAGAACCCCCCCCTATCACAACCAGCAATTACGGCTATGAATTGAAAGGTTTCAGAAACTGATTGGGAACCCTCAAGGAAGCACTTTCATTTCCAGCAAATTTCTGTTGTAGTACGGACCGTCCTGCGAAAAATGCAAGACTGCGAGGATTGATTTTTGGTTCTTGTTTAGCTACTGATATTTCTGCAGGAACGTTTAGTGAGTTCTTCATATTCCGCGAAAGACAAAGGGCTTCCCTGCCTTGAGCCTTCAGGCACAGAATCACAACCATGTCAAGCAAGTGGGCGCCAAAACGTTTACCAACTTTAGCCTTACAATGCCCGAAACCAAAATGTCGCCCATCATCCGCTCATGGAAACGTCGATTCCCGTGCTGAACTTGTAGTGCAAATCAATCCTGCCGGCTCATGGGAACGGCGATTCCAGCACTAAACTAGCATTTCAATCAATGAAAATCCTGCAGGCTCATGGAAACGTCGATTCCTGTATTAAGCTTGTAGTGCAAAACAATGAAGATCCCGCAGGCTCATGGAAACGTCCTTGCCAATAGTAAACTTGCACTCCACACCATGACAACTTTTTTTCGGGTTGGGATCCCTCATAAACCTCCCTCGAAGCGCAAGGAGGCTCTGGTTGTTTTCTGCAAATACAAGTAAGAAACATAAAGCCTTCATCATCGGCAGCGCGCTAGCTTTGTACGAAACCTATGTGAGTCTGGGGATTGAACCATCATTCCTGTTGGGCAGGTACTGGATGTCAAGTTGTTTGTTTATCTTTGCCACAATGCGGCCCCCCATCTTCTTTGCACGACCGCAGTTGGATGATTTGTTTCGAACACCCACCATATAACCATGATTAAGGCACATCTATACTCTTTTGGTTGTGGTTGGGACCGCTTTTTGGACCAGTTGTGATAAGGTCCACTTTTCAGTTGTAGTAGGGCCCATCTGGTTGTAGGGTTAGGGGGGGGGGGTAAAGGGGCCCTATGGTTGGCCCGAAATCTCCTCTGGTCCTGGCACGTCGTCCGCATCTGGACACTGGTCGGCGAGGGGGGGTATACCTATTCCGCGCTAAAAGCTCGCCCGCACCTTGGGAGGTGGGTGCAACTATGAGAAGCTCCCTCGACCTGGATCTAAACGCCTCAGGCCTCCGGCCTCGGCGGATTACATGACTGACGAAATTGTATATCTAACATCCTATGAAGTCGGCCCGGCTGTGGCCAACTGTGTGCCACCTGGACAGGGCGCACGCTGGCTTGTCGTGGAACGCGGAGACCAGAAGCAGGTAATTCAGTTTGCACTTCCAAGGAAAGTCATATGAAGACAGCCGATAGATGTGGATAGCTTCCCTCGACAATGGCACCAGCGATCGCCCTGCGATCTGTCGATCCTGAGAATCTCGAACACCGTTTGGCTACCTGTCTTCAGTTCTTCTGTCATGCGCTCACTCCAACCATCTCGAACTCTCGGACTTCGGACCTGCGCAAAAGTGAATAGCGCACCATGCAGCGCCGCAAGGTCCTGCGCGAAGCCTTGTCGCGGCTGCAAAGGAGCAGCCAAAGAGATCCGGCTACCGAGGCAGCGGTCCAAACTACACATGAGACGTGCAGAGATTGCAGCGGGTGTGACTGTGCAGAGGCACACCTGCTGAAAGTGGACGAATTGGAGGAGCGCGACGACTTGGTGCAAGGTTTGCAAGGTTTGCAAGGTTTCGGATTCCCGCTTTTGGCTCAGGACTATCACGAGTGGGGCGCCCGCTTCCAGAAGATGCCTGCGCACAGGCCGCAGCTGACATCTGCCAAATCTGATCAAATCTGGCACTTCTCGGTGTTCTGGGCGTAAGATGTCCGGCAAAGGCACGAGCTGCTTTGTGGTCCACAGCCATGCCCTCCAGTCTTGCACTCAGCAACCCAGGAGCTGGGGAGTCCTTCGAAGTGTCCTTCACAGCCTAAATGTAACACGACGGATCATGATCAGAGCATGAACAGTATCTGTGAGTCTGTTTTTCCCGGGTACAGGCTGATGGCATCGGAGCCGGGGATGATGGATCCAGCAAGATGCACGGGCTTTGGTCTGATGTCAGGGGTCCCAGAGCTTTTGCCCAAAGCAAAAAGTTGTGGGCGTAGAGATCCGGATAGCTTTTTGTTTTCTGCCTCTCCTGCAAGGCCATGAGGACTGCAGCAGTTGTGCTCTACCTTCTGAAACACCATCGGGGCCCTTTGGACATTCTCAGGCACGGCTGCTCAGCTACTCTCATCATCTTGCTTGCTAAACAATGGCAAGTGATGTCCGCTCCAACAGGGCCTCGGTCGATGTCGGGGGGGATGTTGACTCAATTGCAGCGACTTTCTTGCACATGGGCAAGTTGCTTTACAAGCACATACGCAGTTGAACGCAACAGCAGCTAAGGCCCTCTGCCTGGGGATTGTGGGTGGATCGGTTGGCCTGGATTTCGGAGAGCCTCACGGATTGTGGTGAACTCAGAATTGGCCCCTGGTATGGTTCTGGATGCCACACTGCAAGAATGTCCGTTCATGTGCGCGGAGGCCATGGTTCCTGCTTGAAGAAGTAGAGGGCGTGGAATACCTCCATGCCAGGGGCAAACTGTTCGAGGCTGTTTCTTGACGATGGTTTGGCATGCTCTTTGGACGGGCTTCCCCTCTTAGTTGTGTCATGGCGCATGCCGGAAAGGAGTGGATAGAGGAGCAGCGGGCGATGTGAAGCTTAGCGGCTCAGCGTTAGCAAGGCAGCATTAATGCTACTGCCCGCCTTCGACGAGAAAAGGGCGGACTGCTGGCACACGCATGGGCGTGCTTACTTATTATGCAACGATGCGGCTGCGTGGATGCATCTCCTAAGTATCTCTTTTCAAACCTGGTTTCTAGGCTGTGTGGATCACTGGGACAGACGGCCCGGAAAAAGCGTTGGGAAGGGGTGGGAAGCTTGCAAATCGAACAACTTTTAAATTTGTTCCCCTGGGACGTCTGGACTTTGGCAAAGTCAGTTAGGGCACAAAGACGCAGAAAGGAAAGCAATGAACTTCCACGAAGGTAAGTTGCATCATGATGCGACCTGACCACCTGATATGTATTCGGTCGAGATCCTTCCCAGCGTCACGCCAGGCATGATGCAAGCAGGCGATTGGGCGTCGAGTTGCCGTGGAATGAGAAGGCCTGATGTTCGTTGGTGTGCATGCAGCGGCCTCGTCACAGACATGCCGGTGTGTAAGCTGCTGCCTGAAGTTGAGCTTCAATCATGTAGACAGAGGTGCACTTTGCCTTCCAGCCCGGTTCATTCAGACACAACTTGATGTTTAAGAGCCGGTTGACGATGATAAGTGCCACCCTGATGGCGAGGAGGAGCGTGAGATGGATGCTGCTGAGGCGAAGTGGAAAAATGTGCCTGGAGTAACATCCATACAGAGAAGCACGCCTGCCAGGTCATAGGGCTCTTGGGACAGCAACTGGAAGCAGCCAAATGTGCAGGCAGTGTCTCGACTTCCAACAGAGCTATAGTATACTAAGTTCTAAGATCCAAGAGTCTAAGACTATGCAACAAGTGCAGAGGTACGACCGAGCGGCTGGTGGACGACGACGAGGTACCGTGTCGAGAAGCAAGACGCGCTGCTTTTGAGCTTGCATGTCAAGTCACGTCGATGCCATATTCACAGTCTAGTGATTGTTTGCGACAGGAGAGCGAATGGGAAGGCTTTCCTCGGTCAGAGGTGGTCATCTCAGATCAAAGCGAACCTGGAGTCAACCCAGTGCCGTGTCGTTCACATTTCAGGTGCTGTCGCCTGTTGACGTGGGAGAGGCTGTCACGTTAGAGAAGCTAGAAGGTCTGCTGGATGTCGGTAGCGTACTTGAAGCCTGTCTAGGGTGGCCGATCGCGGGCTTGGTCGATGCTCGAAGCGATGATGAACGACCTGGGTCTCAACCCAAGAAGCACGTCGGCGATGGCCAACGCTGGGCAGCTCTCCACTGTGCGTGCGGCGCCCATGTGTGCCAACGTGCACCAACCGTAGGGATTTGTCCTGATTTGTCTGCAGCATGTTGCATGGATACCTGTGCCCAACACTTGAGGTTCAGATCAGGATCATGTGGAGGCGGGCTTTCTGCATCGTCAGATGTCGGTAGTATATCGCACTCCTTCCTCGGATTTCTATTCATTCTCATGTCACCCCATCCCCGCCACACTACCAAGCCCCATTTCTGCAAGGGACTGCAAGGGTGAAGTAAAAGACGGAACCGGTTCCAATGCCTATGGGGAGAATACCTGGCTACTAGTGGCGAGTCCAACACGTTGCCAAAGCTGGCAACATGCTGGCAACAACTGGCAACAATGAAGCCGTCATGTGGCGTCACATTAGCGAATTGCAAAGTAATGAAAGTGTGAGGAGACCCCTCACTGCTGACTACTGACTGTCCCGAAGTGTATACCTGAAGAGTCGTTTTGCGTAGTGGCATGACGGACTGGTGGTTCCCGAATTGGCTTTGCGCTGTCCTCGCCGATCGCGCGCTTGTGCGACGGAAGTGGAGTTAGCCAGACAGCCTGCTTCTCGAATTTCCCGAGAGTCTTGAAATGTCTGAAGCAATTTCTGTTGCATAGCAACACGGGATCACTCACAATCGCTTGATTATGCAGGCTGAAAGCCTGCCACATGCAACCACATTGACATGCTGCTTACCGAAAGGAATGGAAAGGAGTTGCTCGATCTGTGCGTTTTCTCGAGGAGCCTGACACGGACGATGAGGTTGTTCAAGAGGCTCTCGAGGCAATGCATTGGCCCAGTGGCATTCACACATATTCGCACATGCCACATCATGCCACTTCTAAATGCACGTTACTCCGCTACTCCAAACATCAATTCATGCTCGAGGAGCAGGGGCGAGCTGAAGCTGCAGCCGAACAGGACATGCACCGCTAGACTGGAGCTGCAGGCTATTGGTACACCGGTGCGAGCTAAAGGACATCCAGCAGATGCTGCGAGAGTCTCCAGCGGTGATTCTTCCGTCCATGTCTGGGCTGTCTGGGTCGTACTACTGTATCGGGGGCAGTCAGAGAGAACGGAAGTTCTGTTGAGGCCAGCGCAGTCCCAGAGCAAATCTAGCTCAAGGCGCGACTGATGACGATTTATTAGCAGCAATTGAAGCTTGTGCCTGGCAGGATGAACTTGCTGACCCCATCTCGAGCTCATACGCCTTGTTCAGGCTTCAACCCGTAAGATAATGTATTTTGGCTGTTCGGCGCATGCATGCACATGCACGCAAATTTCCATATACCCTTGGGAAGGCATGCAGACAGTGAGCTCGGACCTTTGCTAGAACATGTCTTGAAGCTGACTTGAAGGCAGTGCTGGTGAAAGGTCGAAGAGTACCGTACATGGCCCTGAGGCTCGAATGCAACAAGAGCAACAAGCTCCTCACCAGGAGCTTTTGAGGCAGCCCGCTTCAGCACATGCCGGTTGGAGTCAGATGTGACTCGATGTTCTTGTAGCTTCTGTGGTCCACAGGCTGGCAGGACCGAGGCGTTGTCGAATGAGGCCAGGCTGCAATATAATATCGTGCAATCTAACTTGAATGCCCTGACGGCTTGAATCAGTAAAGCAGCAGTTGAATCATTCGGATCCGCTTAGTTCCTTTTCTCCGAGGCATCACCCAATGAAGCGCTCTTCCTGCAACTCTTGGAGGCCTGCGCCTCTCTGTGTGAGGTCACAAGATGGGCAACATGCACATGGACAGAGCGAGCATGGGTGTCATGCTTGGTTACATCCATCCTTTTCCCGAGGGTCCTTGTGCTGTTGCGATGCAATTGTTTTGGCACCAGGACGAGGTTGCAGGCAGCTTGAACCACTTGAACCTCATGATGCCGGCCCTAGACTCAAATCTGCGGGTGGTTGCCTTCTGGAGTCACAAGCATGACAGCCACCACGCCGCATCAGACACAAGACAACCCAGGGCTCACCTGAGACTTCCAGAGCAACGTCGCCACTCTCTTCACAGCACTGGCCTGAACAGATGCACGCAGATCTGGCATGGGGCTGCCTGGCACACTGCCTTGAGGCCCAGTCCTTGACGTGAAGATTGGCATTCAGCGGCATGCATACTGTACATACCGTTGTTTTGCGAGTCTCTACCCTAGTTGCGGCATATGCTCATGAGATATCCATTTTAAGCTGGTCGACAAACAGGACATGCTCAGACGGAACACTCGGGATTATTGCAGCTACCCTCGCAATAGCTATAGTGCTGTGTGGAAACTTCGAACTCACCTGGACATCCGCTCTGGACTGATGCGACATTGCGGATCTACAGAATCTGCGAAAGGAAAGTTCAGCACCATGCGTGACAGGTGCTTGTTACCTTCTTTTCCTGACCTTCATGTCTTTCGATTCTATATGTGTTGAGTCATTGAGAACATCTGCAGGACTGCCATGCCACAAAGCATTCCATGACTCCGTAAAATTTCGGCTCCCTTGGCTACAGTAGCTTTTAGGTCAGGTTCTTTACCACAACATTCATCCTTTCCCGTTTTCACTATGAACTATACCTTGATTTCAGATCGCTCACAACAGGCAGCATGCGAAGAGTGCACACAGACCAGACATACGCACATCCAGCTCCAGCCTTCCCCCCGTCTGCCACCCTGCGCCCCTCCACGAGTACATGTGTGTGTTAGCATATGCCGATTGTGCTCTTTCCAAAGAAGGCCGCGTTCATCTTGTTGATCATCCGAGGGCAAATGACAGCTTGGACAGGACAAGCCTCAGTTGGTGCGCGGATTCTCGCCGAAGGCTGCTGTCACACCAATCGAAGCTGGCACTTCGCCTGTGACTTCCAGAGGTGGTTCGGCTCAATGTTCGCATCAACGAGGACGTTGAGGAGGCCACGGTGTCATGAAGTGCCGTGAAGTGCCATGGGCCACGCCAAATCATCTGAAAGCCACTGAAAGAGTTAGAAGCGGATTCGGCCAAGGCCTCACTCGCAAACATTTCGCGGTCTGGCCTCTTAGCGCTCTCGAATGATATCTCAACGAACAGCGGCGTGGCTGCATACGGCTGAGTACGGCTGCAAGGTCAACTGATCAGTCTGCCAATTGTGATTGAAATGCTGGCTTGCAGGTCATGTTACCAAGCTAGACTTCAGGCAGCAGACCTTTGTTTGCCTTTGTTGTTTGTTCCAGACCCCAGCCTTCTGGCGAGGCACGTGTGTTTTGGTCCAGAAGAAGCTTTCATTTTGGCCAAAGGCTTGTCAACGAATGCAGGCCGGGAGTTGCCTCTCAGTAAACAGCAGAAGGCTGTGATGATCTGCGATTGTCTGCGATGCTTACTTCGATATGCCTCTCTGATCAGTTCTTCTGGACCTCAACCTCCAGCACAACAATCTGTCGGATGCTGGCGTGGGGGCCGTTGCAGAAGCCCTGATTCAGCAGGTGCCTCCTTGCCCCGTAGCATCACTGTTGAGGCGCGCGTTATGTCAGCGTGTGTTGGGGCCAGGGTGTGCTCGAAGTCCTCACGCTGGATGCTAATGGCATCGGGGTCGGGGTCCTGGCTCAGATAGATTCTGGTCACCCTCTCGACTTCTTTGAAATATGACAGTAGAACATAACAATCTGCATGAGGGAGGAGGAGTGGGGTGATAGAAATAAACAGTCACCGGGAGTGGAGTTCTTGCTAGAAAGTACCGGTGCTGCTGAAACTATATTACTCAGCTGCCAATCTTTGCCAATCTTTGCAGCTATGAGATTCCGATGAGTGCACAGCAGCTTCTAATCTGGTGCGTCGCTGTGCGTCACGCTTCTGAAATGCGTTCTTCCCACAAGTGATTACCATTTCGCCAAAGACAAGCAGGACACGGGCGCCATAGCGCTTGCTGAGTCAAGAGCTCAGACATAGGACATGTACTGATTTCCATGTCTACACCACCTCTTAGGCCCACCCCAACGCGACCAAACAGCAATGCCGCAGATGTGGTAATCCCCAGCTCGCAAGGTAATTACATGCTCCGGAATGCTCAGAATAATCCCACTCTTCATGCGTGCTGCCTGCTGGCTGAGATCGGGTAGTGCGTGAAATGTAAATGTTGCCAAGCATTGAAGCAGTATGCTGCAGTTCACACACCAGCTATGTGAGAATGTCATTGCATCTCATGTGCTGAGACACGCTGTTGAGAGGAAGCTGACGTGTGAGACGTCAGGTTCGTGTCCTCCTCTCGCACCTTAAAGGAGCTGAGACTTTTTGACAACCACATCCTCAAGGCCCTCAGCTTAGGTGTACCCGAGACTATTGTCGCAGAGACGGTCTTCCTTCAATAGCATCCGTCACACCTTCCGAGACGTTCAGAGTCCAGCTTTCTAGAATGGAAGTCAGGATGGAGGTGCTGCTATCGGGAGTGCAGTCGAGAAGTGCCCAACGTTGAGACATTTGGATCTTGGCCTTTGCCTTGGAAGAGACTCCTGAGGATGAGCTGCCGATTGTTTTGCTGAATGCGCTGTGGTGAGGTTTAAACGAGATTGGGGATGCGGGCGCTGTTGCCTTGGCGAAGGCACGAAACTGCACCTTCCCTTGAGCTGCTGTGGTTGTGCACTGCATAGGCCCTCTGCAGTTACAGCAAGGTGTCCAAGCTCAGTGCATAGCTCAGATGATCCCGGTTTGCGCTTGCGTGAATCAGCAGGGATGGTGAAGTCAGGCGTTCGCGCCAACGGAATCACCAGCATCGGTGGCAAGGCAATAGCTAAGGCCCTTTCGGCATGAGCGGGGTCTTAGGTGAGGCTCACAACTTTGGCATTGTAAATAAGCGCAACACTTGTTGCACGAAGTCGTTCTAACGGGCTGTATGGACGAGGCTTCTAGGTTCGCGGTACGATTTGCTGAATAGTATTGGGCTACATTTCTCCCAGCATGGACTGACATGACTCAGAGTGGCGATCAACGTGGGGCACCTCCTCGTGGTGATCACTGGTAACAGGGGGCTTCGATGTAAAGCAAATTCGACGGGCCGTGGAATGCACTTGTCATGTCACATGCTCATGTTGTGAACTGGCCAATCGGAGCGGGACGATGTCCGCGAAAACCGATTTCAGCACACAACGCCCTGGCTAACCCATGCCTTATGGTGCTCGCCATCGTATCAGGTTCGTGTACCGGTCGCTCGATGGGGAAGCGACGGGACCCACAACTCTAACGGTAGTCTCCAGCGAGTTGTCCGTGCGTGGTACCGTTGTGCAATGGTCTCGGGTCGTCGGTTTTGGGTGTTGGGGCCTGGATGCACGAGCTGAACGGTTCCGCTCAAGGCCGCGGAGACTATCGTGTCGGAGTGTTTTGGGTGGGCAGTCGGACGAACCGCATATATTTGGGTAATCTGGGAATCGGTCGCGCATTGCGAAGTACACTTCTGGGACTCCTTCCTCATTCATGTTCATAGCTTTCGCTCGGCGCGAACTCGCTGGATGATACAGCCCGACAGGGTGCGGAAGTTTCAACCTGCAAGACCCGCCACGGTGCACGACACACGTGGGCGGAGCCGGGACATGTCCCACGGCCAGGTGGGGACAAGCCACGTGCCTGTCCATTAGGTTTATTGTTGAGTATCGATGTCTCTTCGGTCTCGGGTAACATAGCTATGTCGGTATCCCTGTCCTTGCTATGTCGGTATCCCTGTCCTTTAGCATGCGTACTGAATGTTTCACAGCACGGTTCGTGCGCCATGACGTTCAGATCTTGTGAGGAACGGAGGGTGGGCTGCTTGGTAGCTTTCAGACAGCAACTCAACTTGCAGTCGGTGACCTTGATGACCTTTGCCTGCCGAAGGCATTGCGGAAAAACTGCCGACTCCGATCATTGGATATCCGTGTGAAGACCCCAGCCTGTAGCGAGCCTTAACTGCACTGAACCTGGACCCACATACAGCTTAGACCGGGGCATATCGCAAGCGCGCCTGAGGTGAACCGCTTGCGTGACGATGCAGTCAAGCACCTCTTTGAGGCTTTGCACCTCCACAAGCGGCAAAAGTGTTGATGCACATTGCACGGCGGTGCCTAGGCGCTGCTGCTCAACACACACCTGCAGGAATTGGACTGCTCAGGCTCGAGTGTTAAACGGATTGAGAAAAGCTGAGAGCAGATGAGAAGGGGTTTTGATGGGCTTCAGTGCAAGTTGAAAGTCTTGCAGCTTGAGCAAAAAATTGGGTAAGTTCCTGGTCGTGCCAAGATGCCAAAGGAAACAACATACGAGATGATGCCATGGAGTTCGTCGCAGAGGCACAGAACAGCTTACTTACCACCCTCACCACCCAGAGCAAAGTTGTCGTTCTGAAGGTTATCTTGCAGAACAAGTTCATCACGAAGTTGAGTTTCGAGGCAATGACCTTTCCAGGGGCAATGGCCCGCGAGTGCCACGAGTGCAAGGGCAAGGAGTGTCACGAGAGCAGGACAACTACTTCACAGATGAGGCGGCGGAGGCCTGGTGTCCAACGAGCACCGCGGCAGCGGAGGGTAGTGGATGTGCGGGGGGTTGCGTGTCATGGTCATTGTAGGGGTATTGACTCATTGACTTGACCTCAAGAGGCTCTAGGGAGTAGAGAAGATCAGAGAAGGAAGCACATGGAAGAGCCAACGGAAAAATGAAAATAAACTGAGCAAGAAACTAGGGAGGAGGGAGTGCCTGCCTGTGCAAGTCCTGTAAGGCCTTAAGGGATGGTTCATAGCGAAGGAAGAGCAGAAGACCGCGACAATCAGTGGTGAAATCGCGGAATGAAGCGAGGTCAGTCCCGAAACGGAGGCAACCGCATGCCTTTCTTGGGCGCAGGCTTCAGAAGCCAAGCGACAATTTTTCGGAAACAATTTGCCTTCGTGATACAAGCAAAGAGAAAGAGGAGTTGTATAGTTCAGCGAAGGAGGTGTCTGTGAGAGATGGTCTGGATGCTGTTCCGGCGAGCAATCCGCAGGTGTTCCTGAAGTTGCTACAGAAGGCAGAGCACCTCTCGATGACCGAGGCCAAATTTGCAAAGTTGCTCTCTCAGAAAATAGCAACATGTGTTTACTCGGATTGTACTCAAAGCATACTGCTCTCTGTCATACCGCTCAGCGTACCGTCCTAGGGGAGAGCATGTGGGAGCCTCGTAGGACCCTTTTTGTACTTTGCATCCTGCCAGTTTGGAATCCACAACAACTACATCTCCGAGATCAAGCTTCAGCAGATTGACCTGCCAGTGACTTAACAAATGACACATTGGGCCGAGGCTCGCACGGGCGAATTTGTTGGTGTTTGCGTGTCACGCTTGCCAGCCTGATGCGAGCATCGGGAACCTTCGCTTGGGATAAGGTTCATGCGTACTCATGCCCGAGAGCTCCAGAAGAAGAAGCGCGAAAGTAAGAGGCAGAGGACAGCCTGCGCTGCTTTGTGTTGCGCCATCCCTTATTTCTCGACCGCTCACGGCGGAAGTCGCGCAGTTGGGGGCCATGCCAGGAGCCAGTCAGTCGCACAAGGGGACGATACAAGAGAGGAGTCGGAGCCCAAGCATCATAGGCTTGTTGACTTCCGTCATTCATGGGTGACATTGTTTGATAAGGTCAAAGATCTCTGCAGGGCCTGCACCTCGATTTTCCTCGGTCAGCTGATGTGCTCTTAACGGATTCTACCGCCGAAGGCGCCAGTCAAGCGGCAGCTTATCCCGAAGCACCTCCAGGATCCAGAGATCAGATGCGCAGACAACAAACATTCATATGTTAAAATGCCTTCTCCACAGTTCCACGAAGCTCTGTCTCAAGCACCTTATTGCCCCCGTCAGCCTTTCAGCCATGTTCACCCGTGCAGGATATCGGCCCGAGGGTCTCGAGAAGCTTCGAAGGTGTGATCGGTTTCAGATGCTGAAATATTTGTTATTTGTTGCTGGGCAAGTTGGCTACTCTCTTAAGTTGCATGCCATGATATGTCTCACACTCGACAATTGGTAGTACCGATGAATTCGGGCGCCCTGCTCTCGTCACCGCATCTCGGGAAACGTGCCTCTGCCTGTCAATCGGGAGTTCTCACGGATTCTACAGACCAGCGTAAGACTAGTTGATCCAAGTGAATTCAGTTCTGTGCCCACCACAGTGTTTTGAGTCGGGGGTTTCATCATTAGACTCTGTCATGAGCCCTGGTCATGGGCTAATATGCACCATGCCAAGATGATCACATCACACCGACACCCAGCCATAGGCAAACTCTCGAGTGCCTGCCGCTGCATCAAGGGCCCAAGGCAGTCGGGAGGAGGATCCATGTCATCGTGCTTCATGTCCCATCGACTTGGCTTGGATGTGTTTGGGCATGTTTGGGCAGTGTTGCGACAAGCTGGATGGACAAACTCATGCTGTAGGATGCTGTAGGTTATGTAGGCTCCTGGCGGCCATGCACATGGGACCGCAGCCGCAGGCTTGGCATGCAAAGTTCCGGGCTCATCGTTCTGGCGCTCCAATTTTCTTCGAATCGCTTTGACGACCAGATCACAGAAACCTTTAAGGCTGCGCGGCAGCTTGCGCGAGGGCGTTTACTTTGCAGAGGCCAACGAGACAAGAACATGAGAACATGTTCATAAATCCGTACCCTTTAAAGTGCCCTTGCCGTTGGACTTCGCGGGTGCTGCACCCTTTCTCCGCGAGGTGCTGCTGGGATCCCCGAGGCACAGAGATGATGCGTGCACATGGTCTTGATTGCTGCTACTAGCTGATATAATTGTTTCCTTGCAAGAGATGCCTGAGAATGTTCCTAGAGGGTGCGTTTTGGGGAATGCAAGCAAGAAAGACCCTGCTTCATATGGCACAGTGTGGGCAGTGTTGGGCTGTTGTTGTTCATGAAATGCTACCCTGGACTGCAGCGCAGGCCACAGCGTGCATCATTGATCGCTCCTTGGACGCTCCTTTATTTGTCAATTTTCTAGTTTGATTACGTGGTGTCTCACTTTTGCATGTTGTCTTTCCGAACCATTCGCACGCATCTTCAGGTAGACACGGCAAGCTGGGCAACTCGGCAGCGAGTGGATATCCGTCAAAGAAGTGTTGCGCCATTAAAGGGCCTGAGTCTGAAGCGTCTAATCCGATTTAGGCCATCTCTCTCTCCTTCTTTTATTCTGCTAGATCTCTTGCGCTGTCTCTCTCTCTCTCTCTCCTCTCTCTCTCTCTCTTTCTCTGCCTCTCTGTCGGGCACACACTCCTGTGTCTTGTTCTCCCACTGTTTGTCTCCTTCTCTGATGGCCTCTCCGTGTCCATTCGCAGCAGCTTGCGAGGTCACTGAATTGACATGCACGGGGTGTTCTGCCTGCGGCAAACATCTGAATCCTCACTTCAATCTATCTGCCAGCGCTACCGGCCAGTGGGTTCGCTGTGGAGCTGACTGTCCTGGCAAATGCCAGAAGGACGGGCGGATGTGCGTTAGCGCTCAGCGCTGGGCGGAGTGACCTGGATTCCAAACACCAAGTTGTACCGGAGGATCGTTGCAGTTTCCGGGAGAAGTATCTGGAGGGATCCTCCCTTGAAGGGTCTGCTGCTCAGTGATCAGGTAGGTCGACTGGACCGCAGAACCACGACTCTAAGTAAGACTCCTTCCCCCCGAACAAAGTGAAAACGAAAGGAGGTGGTTTCGCGACAGCCTGCGCTTCGTGTCTTGGAATGGAAGCCAGGGACCCATCGGCTGCGAGAGACTGTTTTGTTCCTTGCACTGCTCAGCTCTTTTTGAGACTCCAGGCACCGACCCTTTCATGGCGACTGCGGGATGTGCTCTCAAGGCCTATAGCCTCCAGCTTGCGTTTTCTGTCGACTGTTGATTCGTGGAGTTTTCGTGGGTCTTTGCGTGGAGACGTGTCCACTTGCGGTGCTTTGAAGCCGCTGGAGTATCCGCTGGAGCATCGGCCAGGAATCCGGGCTTTTCTATGCCCAGCAGCAGAATGGCATACTTGGACTGGCACCCGGCTCCTCGCGCAAACGAATGCTTGAACGTTTGCCTGTTTTTGTGTGTACTACGAGTGGCTGCTTTTGACAACAGTAGGTTAGAGCGCCAGTTCCTTGCTGCTCCGCTTCCCCTCACCCCAAACATTGCCAACACGGAGGGAGGGATTAAAAACTGGACAGGCAGGGCCATCAGAGGCCCAACCAAAAAGGCGAAGTTCCCTGCGCTGGCTGCTTTTTTGCTGCATTCGCCGGCGGCATTTAAGGTTCCAAAACCAAGCCCACGATGATCTGGCAAGCCTTCAAGGACCTGCACCCAAGTAAGTTCAACCACACTGTAAAGCCCTGCAAAATAAGCCGCCCTTTTCAGCCTTCTTAGGCCTCTTGCTCCTGCGAGGCACTGGGCTCCAGAAAGGAAAAGCGGGATCCGAGCTCAGCATCAGAGAGAACGAAGCAGGTGTGAACCGCTGGGCTTTGTTCTTGGGTTTGTTTAGGGTGCTCAGCTCTGCGTGGCTTGCAGGTCTTTTCTCTCAGATTGGGCTCCGAAGGCCTGGAGCAGATGTGAGCACACCGGTCCTTCCTGTGCAGTCCACGCAGTGCCCCTCTTGGAATGTCCCACCAAGTCTGCTTGCCTAGACAGAGCGCTCATTTTCGGGCTTGGAGCTCTTTGCTTTGCGTGGTTGCCTGGCTTGTCAGGTGGAGACCTTGTCATCGGAGCACAAGAGAGCACACAGCTCCGGCAGCTTGCCGGTGAAAAACACTGGGCCACATGGCCGCATGCACGTGCGGCATGGCATCATACTTGCTTTGTCTTGATAGAGGTTTTGACAATGTGAGCAGGACAACCCACCAGGACAGAACCCACCCTCGCCTCAGGTACCTTTGCAAATTAGCGGTTCAAGCGGCAAGTACGGTGTCAAGGTGCCTTGCCTGGATGTCAGAAGAGCAGCTCCGTGTGCTTCAACTTTGGATAGATTTTGCTCTTGATTCTTGAGTTCTTGAAGCTTGGTGAAGCTTGGTGAAGGTGGAGTCCCTGATGCTCAATGGACATCCGGTCCCTTGCAGGCATGTCTTAGGGAACGGTCCCGCGTGTCTCTTTCCGGAGTCGCCAAGTAGTCCAAGTCGTTGCCAGGGGCAAAGCACAGCTCGACTCTGCCTCCACCTTCACGTACCTACCGCCGGAGGCCGCAGAGCCCCAGTCTCCAATCGCAGTTGCATGCATTGACACGCGTGTCACCTGCATTCTTGCATTCCTCCTCTCCGCTCCATGCTAGTGTAGTGCCACGTCAGGAGTCAGGAAGGTCCGGGAGGTAGGAGAGCTTCAAGAGATTGTCAAGGGGGGTCTGAGGGGGTGGGGTTTCAAGGCACCCTTGTTCGTGTGTTTTTTGGGTGGCGTCGGATTGCGGCTCCTCGGTTGGGGCAGGTCTCGAGGGCAGGGGGGTGGATCCAGATGAGACCAGATCCTGGTCTCCTTGTTCCAGACGCCTCTCGGCTCGGGGGGGGGCCGAGGCGAATTTTATTTACCGCAGATGTAGGTAGCATTGTCTTCCTAGTTCCAGTGCGTGTGCGAGAGGCTGAGAGGCAATTGCGCAAAGCCTTGGAGGACTGAGCGCTTGTCGCGATTCTCAACCACAGTGCTTGTTGCAACTATAATGTGTTCGTTTGAAAAGGAATCCTGCAAAGGCCAGCGGTGTGCACCTGCAGACCCACCCACTGCAACTGGTGATGAGGCGGCTACTGGGAGCAATGGCGAAGTAGGTAACAGGGCCCTAGCCAGTTCATCCCAATGCAGCGCAAGTTTTGGCAAGGCAAGCAGGCACTGCTGGAATGTGCAAGGCGCGTTCTGCGTGTTTGCTTTAATCCGACTACAGCAGACGAACAAGTTGTGAGGGCAGTGCACAGCGCTTCTAACAGGCGGCGCTGGCAACATCAGCACCGTCCTGAACAAGCTTCATTCACTCGTGGCAGTGAGTAGTGGTTCATTCGAGGTGGTTCAAGTGCAATTAGGCACAAACCTCTTTCCGGTGCTATCCTGGAAACTTCAAGGCGTCGAGGCAAGCAAGTTTGCTCACTTTTTCTTTGTGTGTCTTGGGTCGTATGCATGCACATGCCCTTCGACTTCAAATCGAAGACAGGCAGAAACAATCACCTCTGCAAAAGCTGTTGCCCTGCTGCTGTTGGCAGGTCCTGTGGCCACCCAGCCGGTACCTTGTGCGCTACGGCGGCAAGCGTGTGAGGCAAGCGGATGATGGCAAGTGTAACTGTGATTCCTTGCTGGGGCTTCACAAAGCGAGGCTGTGCTATGCGTTCCGTGCCACCAGCGCCGGGTTCTGAGCAGCACTTGGTTTCAGGTGGCTTGCACAGAAAGCTCTTCATCCAGAGCGTGTTTTGGGGTTCTCCGTTGTGGCTCTCGTACTTAGTCTCCCAGTGAAGAACTCACCTACTTTCCCGAAACTTTAGCATGTGTCTCAGTCTCAGTGCCTCCCATGGCTGCTTTTTTGGCTGTGGTTCGTTGGGTCCTGTGTGGCATTACATGGCACTGTGAAGTCTTGTGCGGGGGGATGCACGGGGTGTTGGAGCCACAGCTGCCTTCGCAGACGGCTGGGAGGGAGCTCGGCGCTTTGCTTGCACCCAGAGCATCAGAGACTCACTCGTGTGGCCCGGTTTCCGATTCAGCCGTTCTGGTTTCTGATGCAAGACTGGTCTCCAATTTGCCCGTTTCTGCTGTCCGATTTGGCTCTGGTTTCCGAATCTGCCGTTCTGGTTTCCGTGGACCTTCTGTGGATCCTGCGGATCAGTGAGACATCAGAAACGAGCTGCGAATCAGAAACTAGAAACTACGATTTTTCTGTGAGAGCTCAAGAGGCGTGGTTGGCTTGCGGGTTGGTTTGGTGTGCTGAGCGTGCTTCGGACCTGTCTTGGCCTTGCTAAGCCAAAAATGCTTTCAGCATGTTTCAGCCGGTTCGTCAATCAGACGCAGGCCCTACGCAGGCTGTTTCCGTGCAATCATGTCTACCAGGCACTGCCCGATGGCTCGCAGATCGTTTTGGGAGCTTCCTGGATGGTGGGACAGGCAGGGTTTGGGCCGTATCTTGCTATTTCAAAGCGAGAGCGGGGCGCATGCCTCATGACGATCTCATGAGAGTTTCACAGATTTCATGCTGTTTTGAGGAACTTGTCTTTGACATCGACAATCATCGACTGGGGTTGACCAGCGTGGACTCCAAAGAGCCCAAACAACGTGAACAACATGAACAACATGCTTCGGATCCGTCCTCGGCCCAGAGTTGCCATTGTGCAGCATGTGCAAAAATAAATTTCAGCAGCAAGCTCATAAGATAAGCTGCACCTGATGCCACCATGGCATCACCATGGTGCAGGCTGAAGGGCAAGCAGTTGCAGCGCTTGCGCGGCAAATCGTCAGGATTAGCTTTCAGTGCAAGGTGTCGAGTACCATGTTTCTGTTGGCTCTCGTGCTGTTTGCAGGCTCTGCCAAACTCACACGAGAGTAGATGCAGATGCAGGGTAACTACTACGGATTCAAACCTTCTGGCTTCCTTTCGCTTAGTGTTCGTCAGCTAGATGCTCGTGTGTGGTGTTGCCCACACGTCTTTCATCCAGTGGAGTGTGTGTGTGTGTTGTTCTTCTTTTTTGCTTTACGTGTGTGTGTGTGTGTGTGTGTGTGAGTGTACTTTTCAGTGGCTAATCACATCCTCGGGTCTTGGGACCCTTCACTCTGGTTGATATGTTCCTAAATGAAGAAGTGCACTTGTTCAATGGTTCACTCGTTCTCATGAACGCAACATCAACTCTCTCACTTCCGAAGTGTGACTGAGTTCATTTTCCCTGCGCAGGAGATTCGCTACCTGCTTCGCACACTACTATCACTACAGAGCGAACATTGCCGATCGCCATCACAAGCAGCACAGCTCAATTCAGCCTTAAATCTTGATGCTTCAAAACTGCACGGATTTGCACTGCTCAGGCACCGACCACACTGCAGCTGTGCAGCAGGCTTACTCGGTCCAGCGAAGCTGGAACGCACCTTCCGTTCTGTGCCAGTTGCCATTTTTGGACTTTTTGGACTCGACATCAGTGCACCTTTAAAGCTCGAACACCGATTAACATCTTCAGTTTTCCCCAGGCCAGAAGCTGCGCCATCCGTCACACGGACAAGTTCTTCAGGCAAGGATCTAGAGATTTTACAGCATGGGAGACTTGGGGCTGGTTGCCAAAGCGGAAGGCGATGTAAGCCCGTTTCCACTTCGTGATCCCGTCCTCGAGTCCGAGTTTGAGACACGGATTGTTGAGGGAGCAGCAGGAGCAAGTGCTGATACCCCGAGACAGCGGTTCTGAGTTGCACCCAAAAGCAAATCAAAAACAATCGCGGCTCCGCCACTAACTGTCCAAACCAGGACTGGTGCTCGTCGGGGTATGCCTCTTTCGCGCTCGCAGGAAGCTCTGGCCGGCCTCTGAGAACTCGTAGGTCTCGTTGCCGGTGGAGAAGTCATTTAAGTCTTCTTGCGAAGCCATGGAAGCACAGGCGACTACTCCACTCCTGCTTGCGAGGCTGGGGTGGGCTGCAGATGGGTCCTTTTTTTGGATCCTCATGGAACATTCTCACATCATGTTCCTGTTCCTGATCCGTGCTGGCCCATGCTGCAGGTGTGTACTGATTGCCCATCAGCTGGCAGCAGCTGGCGGCAGCTGGGAAAAGGCGCAGCCAGAAAAGACGTGATTGCACGGGTGGCATCCAGTGACGTCCATTACGTGCCCCTTGTCTTTTCTGTTGATGTGCTGCTTTCCGCAGCCATTTTGGCGAAAAGGACATGTGCCTTTGTCTTTCGATATCGTACCATTTTTTTTGGTTGTCCTAGATGCTCTGATGCACTCAGCATGCAGCTGCATCATGCCGAGCGTCGTGCGGTTTCTGGTCAAAGCTTGGATGTTTTTCTTCCGAGGAACGAGGAACCACTCTTATGGTAATTCCAGTCGTTGGCGCTTCCCCACAAGATGCACCTGCACCAGCTGCGGTCAAGGAGATGCTTGGCCGCAGGGCAGGGTTCAACACAGCTGCTGATGTGCTTTGTGTTCCAATTGTCGCCCGTGCCCTCTCAATGAGGGGTTGACAACACGCTGTGGTTTTCTCGACCCTCAGGTTTCACTCGTACTTCTGGTGGGGCATCTTCCTGATATTGGTATCGATGGCGATGCTTCAGGTTGTTGCCGGAGATGGGTTTGGCATGTTCTTCACATTGATATTGGCGGCCATCGTCTACTACATGGTATCAGACCACTGCGCCAACATGTCCATGTACTGCCTTCTTGTCTTCGGGCTTATATCTGGATTCGAGTCGCTTTTCGGCGTATTGACGCTTTTCAGCGTGCTGACCTCAGCTGAGCAAGCACGGCTCACTGAAGGTCGCTGTTATGGACATGGAGCCTGACGCACCACATGGGGGAATGTGAGATCATCGTAGGAGTTCGTAGGAAGCATGCTCGAAGTCTCGCTCGCATGTGCTCTCAGGTAGTGGGTGGACGAAGCTCGAGCACCACCCTGATTACTAGTAAGGATGCCACCAGTGTCACTTATGAGACACAGGTCAAGGTACATCCTCTCTTCGACTCTACGCAAGGGATGCTCGGATGCTGATTGGCAGGAATTCGGTACATTAGGCCGTCTTTTCGTGTGACTTCTGCTTCCCTGTGCTCAGGAGCAAATATAACATTCAGCATCTTCCAAGAATAGCAAAGCTGTCCTTACTCTTTCTTTAGTCAGCGATACCCGCCTCTCCTTTCCAACATTGGGAGACCCGAGCTTTGCAACAGGTCGGGTTTGCTGGTGGCACTTCCCGTCGTGATGCTGCTTAGTGCGCTGCTGTCGTGGTGGTCCTTCCGCGCATACCCAAATTCACTCTTCTCCGATTTTGATGAGGAGCCAGCCAGTGGCCAACCTTTCAAATCTTTCAGCCTTTGCATGACATAGCGGCATCGTGGTTTCCTGATGATGAGCCAAATGCCGGGGGCAGGAGGCCGAGCCCATCTATGCGCAAGGAGGGCCTCCTGCAAGCCAAGCGCTCAAAATGGCAGACGAAGAACTCCACACAGAGTTTCTCCAGTCGCCTGCAAAGGTCAGTATGGCGGTCCAGCTCGACCGCGCCCGCAACAACAGGCTGAATGTTTTGTTGACATGCAGCCGTGGCATGGTCAATCATCTTCCGGTCTTGAGACAGGCTCCAGCCACAAGTACGTTGCCTCGCCTCTTCGAGGGTACAGGGCAGCGGCTTGGTCAATGCGCCCCAGACCAATATTACGGCCACTTCAGACTTCAGATGTTTAAAGTCTATGCCCAAACCCACCCACAAAACACGCGACAAAGGAGCTGGGTGCTGCGGCGCTGAGATGGTCTTAAGACTCTTTAAGGCCATGTGCGAGTCTCACATGGAGCGCGTCGATGCGCACGTGGATGCGAATGCTTTAGGCAAGCCAAAGTAGCCAAAGCCACATGTTGTGTCGGAAGTGTCAGCACGAACTCTGAGCAGCGCAGCAGGAAGGGAACGGACACTGCATGATACCGCAGCTCGTCCATCAAGTCTGGATCATTGCTCCGCGAATACGTACCTGCTCCATGAGCACGAACGACATGAACGACTGACAGCTCACATGCCCTTGTCTGACTGAAGGAGCCAACGCTTGTGAACATAGACACTAACCTAACGTGCTTTTGCACGCCAATGGGTGCCCAGTTCTGCTCTCCAAGCGATGGGGTAGTGCCTGGCTCTCAGTCCACGGTCCATTTTGGAAGGAAGCTCTGCGATAACTCTGCGGGGTGACGCCGCTGTGGCCTCCTGAAGGATTCAGCTGCTAGCAGCAAGTGACATCGACATTGACGGCTTGGCAAAGATCAGCCTGCAAAGCCTCTTGCCTTCACATGACCAGCTGCCCTCTTAGCTTATGAGCAATTCGAGAAGCAATGGCTTCTGATGCAACTCAGGTTCGTCGAGTCACTCCACCGGCCAGGTCACGCGCGATAGTGCTGACTGTTATGACAGGGACTTGGGGTTCGGGGTAGGCAACGTAGGATTGCCTTGAAAATTAAATATTGGTACAAAGGGAGACGAACGAAAGCAGCTAGCTCTCCTACAAGCCTCTGAATTACACCTGTGTCTTCTGTGTAAAGGCAGAGGAATAGAGGTGCGCCGTCCTCCTAAAAACGTTCCTACACCCTCCTAGATGACGAGTGCGCAATTGGCGTGCCATGACGAGAACCGAACCAGGGTGCCCTCCGGCTCTCATGAACAGGCTGCTTCTGCGGGAGTGGTTCGCAATGTTCAGAGCTGGTACCGGTCCTAGCGATATCCGAGGAAGGTGCACCTCCTGTGAACTCCAGCTATGAGCCAAGAGGCCGCTGGCAAAGCTGACGCAGCACTACGAAATTCAGGAGCCCAGCATTCAGGCCTGATGCTTTGAAACCTCTTGAAACGTACCATCGGCGTCTGACTCAATTCTTTGAATGCAACTGAGAGGATCTGCCCGGTGTTCGTCTCGCTGCAGACCAAAGTGGAGCAGCACTCGCTCTCAGAAAAGTTTTAGCCAGCGTTGGTGATCAGCTGTACGCACAAGTTCCGTTGAGGTGTACCGGCTCAGTTCGCTACGCAAGCCATGTGGCAGACTCCGCCAGGAGAAGCTCAGGCATGGAGCCATCAGTGTCCAGCAGTGTGTGCCATCAGATGCCATTGAGTCGTTTGCCGTGCTCTGCTGCGCAGCAATGGCAGGGCGCACGTTGCGCAGCTGCAGGCTCAGCAGTTCGTGGGAACTGCCAGGCACCTTGTGGGAAATCGAGCATGTGAAGCAGGGTTTACTTTACTGGTATTGGTGAGTGTGTATAGGGCTCCTGGAAGAAAGGGCAAGCACTTTGTTCTCCCTTTTGATATCACTGCTCGGGGCGGTTTCTGTATAGCCTGCCACTTGAGATGTTCCAACTTTTCGAAGTTTTCTTGAACTTTCATCGGGGACGGCTTCATGTGCACTGCACAGGTCTGTGCAGAAATTACCTTGCTGCAGGATCCTCGCCGTTTATGAGGACTCCAGATCGATGGCGCTGGCGGGGAACCGCAGACATCTGCTGAAAGGGTTCAATGCCCCCTTCACTTGCTCCTCAGCGCATCCAGAGACCCTGCCGCTTTCTGCAAAGGTCACGGAGCTCTGCAGTGGCGGCACAGTGTCCTCGTCATAGTACTGCGCTGCTAATCCATGCAAGCTCCAAATTCAGCTCATGAAACAGATTTCGACCGGCTGTAGGCAAGATCGCATTTTGCAGCGGAATGTCTTCTCAGAGCAAGAGTGCGCAATGCTCATCAAGCACATGTTGGAGGCATCCTCAACCTGTGCAAACCTGCGCACAGTGCAAATGCGGTCTTTGAGACAGCTGATGTCTGCTGCCAGCCACTTCATGAAATTCACCAAGCCGGCCTATCCCATGGCCACTTGTCGCCCGAGTCATTCAGGCGCTTCGAGTCTTCGAACTTCTGGACTTAGAAGGCTGCGATTTCTACTTGCGATTGTCAGGTTTCAGAGTGATCAGACACAAGCGCCGCTGAAGCTGGTGGATTTCGGCCTTGAGCTAAAGGCGGGCTGGCTTTGCTACGAGCACCTCGATGCTGCGACGAAGTGCCTGTTTCAGGTGTGCCTGGACGAGTGGGCGCCGGATTCTGGTCATAGCGAGCTGCTGACGCCGAGTGAGGCAGAGGTTTTCCTCGAACAACATGCGTCCAAGCCGTCAAAACACTGACTATCAAACACTCCCGCATGCGCATTCGCAACTTGACTTCGACAGTTCGCTGTAGATGAGGCATACTATGGAGCATCTGGACCTCCTACTATCTCACAAGTACTTGCAGTCTGTCTTCCAACGTGAAGAAACGTAGCCATCAGTACAGACACACCAAGGGTAGTTCTGCTAGCTTTCGTTCTGCAAAGCCTGGCCACTAAGCTTGTGTCTGACGGATAGCTTTCTGCCTGAAGGCCCGCGTGCGCCATTGGCCACGCAGCGCCTGCCCACAGCTTTACGAGGCGAAGCGGCGAAGGGGAACCCTTTCAGCTCTTTACAGCTCCCTTTTTCTGCCTCATTCTTCTGCCTTTCAAGACAGTCAGACCCTTACAGAACTACCGTAGCCACTGCAACTAGACAGTCAAATGTGAACTGACGACATGACCCTGGAGACATGCCGCTTGGTCTTCTGCGCGCCGGAAGTTCTCAAGCACTTCAAGGCGGGTTGCTCTAGGTTTATAAGATTCCGTTGGTACTACAGATCCATACACGATGAAGTGACTATTCTTGCAGAAATTTTGCAGATATTTTGCAGATGGGTTTGCAGATGGAAATCTGGGTTGCAGATTTGTTGCAGATTTGTTGCAGATTTTTTGCAGATGTTTGCAGACTTGCAGATTTTCATTTCATCTGCAAAAATCTGAAAAACACAGTGTGTTTTGCAGAAACAACTTTCTGGACATTTGTCGCCCACCGAAATGCCAGTCCCCAGCGTGATGATGGCCATCCGCAAAATCTGTGCAAGAAATCTGCAACCTGGATTTCCATCTGCAAAAAATCTGCAACCCCTGTCTGCAAAATATCTGCAAAAAAAGGATTTTGAGATTAGCAATCTGTTGTAGTCGGAATCTTATAACTCTAGGCGGTCAGGTTGCTCCAGGCTGCTCGCACACCTTCGGCTTACCCTCCCCCGAGACCGCACGGGACCCGCAACCATGCTGCCACGAGGTCGGATCGGAGTTTGCTGCGCCATCGAACCATCTGCCAGCGGTCGCAAGCTTGAAGCCAGGCCAGACCGGCCTGAGCTTGCTGACTCGTGCACAATTTGCCAAGTGTCTCGAAGTAGCTAAAACCAGTAGCACGGATGCGAAAGGGTTTGTACTTATCCACTTGAGAGTTGAGTCGCGTAACTGGCTGTCAGGTGTGGCCTCTGAGAAGCTCAGCTGCAGTTGTTTTTCGATGCTGCGATATCAAGGGCTGAAGATGCTGAAGCCTCGAACAGAGGGCCTATAGAGTGGAGGAGCTCAGACATGCTGGACCTGCGCCTTCTTTCCGAGGCCTCCCTGAAGCCACCTTAGCTATATAACAGGCTAGGCATATCGCTCCGTGCACTTTTGAGCTCCGAAAGCGGAGGCCATTGACGCCCACATGGCGCAGCAGGCCCCCCATGCCGTGTGAAAGCCGGTAGACTATCTCAAAGCTGTGCTTCCACAATACATCATACCCAAACTCGGCGGAGGATTGTGGCTGGGACTTCCTGGCCGCTTGTGATGTGTGGAGTGCCCGATCCTGAGGCCAGCTCAAACCCAATGCCGCCTGTCCTACCATGGTCGTACTGACCAGTACATGGTCCTACAGTGCAAACGTAAAGCTCTTGCCGAGGGCGCACGTTAGCACTCGTCAGCCCAAGGTGGGGGCCATTGCCTTCCTCCTTCTGTGCGGGTGAGCTGCTCTGAGCTTCGTGGCTGATCTTTGGCGTTGGGATGTCTGCGCTTCGTGGGTCCAGGTATCCGCCATTCTTTGCTCCATGCAGACATGCCATCATCTCGAGAGTTGAGAAGATTGACTTGTCATTTGTCACCGCCTTAACACCACGACTTTCGATGACGGAGACCTCTCAGCGCCTTAACATGCCGGCGCCCAGCGTCTTGCAAAGAGGATCCGCCCTTCTGGTCCAAAATCTCGGAGGAAGCAAAGGAGCATCGGCTCTGTTGCAGGAGCCGGTTCCAGGCAGTACAGGAAAATGCTGTTGCAGGACTTCGTCCAGAGGTGTTTGCATGGCACGGCAGCAAAGCGACTGACGGTACAGCAGGCCACTTGAAAGCTTACCTGGCATCGGGTGTCGAGGTGCGTAAGGGTTGTGCATGACACAGGCACTGCAGCACCCGTGGATCCGGCAGCTGGCCGACACGTCTCCGTATGGCTCCATGTTGCCCTCTTTCGACGCTCAGACGCAAGACATGTCAGTTCACCGTTGTCGCTGCCAAGATGCAGTCCCCCCTCCCCCCCAAAGCGTGTTATTGAAAGCTCGTCCTCTGAAGCTGGGAAAGGCGTTGAACCTACGACGCTTCTGCAGGCCATCTCTTTCGGTATCGTGGCAGGGTCAGTTGAAGCTGAAGTCCAGCTCTAGAGATCCATAAAGATCCTAAGGCACGAACGTTCGGTTTGTCTTGTGCACCTCCTGGAATCTCGCTTGGGGAGCTTTGCTCCGAGATTCGGGAATGTGGGGTCAGTGGGCACAGCAGTGGAAACTCGTCAGGACTTGGCTCATCGAGGCCTGCTGTTGCGTTGATATTCCTCATGAAGGTGCCCTTGCTTCTGCTGCACCTTTTGCAAGGCTTTCGTGGCAAACAGCCTAGCATCCAAGCTGAGTTACATGGACACGCTAGAACTCCAGCGCGAGCCGCCGTCTCGGACAGCTGGCTCGCAGAATCAACTGCTGGGCATCTCCTCATTCGGTCAGGTGCCAAAAGGCTGACAAGGACAATTCAGGCTTCCTCACATCAGCAGACCTGCGGCAGGCTTTGCGCTCACGCCTTTCGAGGGTTTTGAAATGCGCAGCAATATGCAGCAACGATGTACGAGTGGATGCCGGGAGGTCCTGCAGCAGGGTGGGCACGCTGACATTGTCGAGGCAAGTTTCCTTTTTGTATTTGTGAACTGAATTTGAAGTCTCCGGTGGCTTTCATCTGCATTGAGGCGATTGGATTGTGCTTTGCCCGCTTCCTGCGGCATCCTGGAGAGTCGTGCGCAGCGCTGCTTGTGCTTCTGCTGTTTCGAAACTTCCTCTGTGATGTGAGAAGCCAATAATGCAAGTACCGAGCTTTTTTATTTCTTGACCACTTGACTTGACTGCCTGACGACCTGACCACATGCCTCTGACCGACCTCTGCTTTCTCTCTCAGGTATTTGGACTACCACGCGTTGCTGGACTCCGTCCGCCTCAGGCGTGAGTTCCTGATAGAAGAGGACCGCCGTACAGCACTTTTGGCATTACCTACCTTGTCTAGGCCAAACTGCAGTCGACATCCCTGGCTGAGTGTTGTTAGCTGTTACTGTTACTATGTGACTGCATATGCTACTTCTGCTTCTGATTGGCCAACCTGAAGGAGATCTGGACAGCTCTTTTGCAAGAAGAAGGAACAGTGCAGATCTCAGGTTTGGCTGTGCATGTTCCAGGGAAAGAGCACATGCGAGCAGTGAAGGCCGAGCCTGCAGCCGGCAGCATGGAGTCATTCCTTCAGGCCAGCTGCCCTTTCTGCTGTTTGGACTACTGCATGTTTTGCATCTGATGGTCTTCAGGCTCCCTCTCTGCAAAAAATCCTTCAGCGAGAAGGAGTGCAGGTTACCTGGCAATAGTCAGCTGCCAGCTTGGCTTCACAGCGGTGTTGTGGCGATACTCAGGATGGGTGTGCCATGAGCTCTGCTCTTACTTCGCAAAAATATCTGCTGGCAGTCATGGCCCGTAGCAACAGTTTCTTGCGGGTGCATGTCTGTCTGCAGGTGCTTTTGATGAGAGTGGCCTGGATACTTCTAAGGCCGCGTTGAGGGTCGATATGTGTAGGTTCAGCTTCATCTAGATGGCAAAGCACGCCTGAGTGACGGAACTGAGCCGACCTGCACAAATGGAAGGCCGACATCAACGACTTTATGGCTAAAGTGCTTTCTCAACTCAGGCCTTGACCTTAAACCGTACCGCTGCCATCTAAATGCTATAAAATTCAGCAGCATTGCAGGCAGGCATGTCTCGAGACCTTGTGGCTTGAGGTCGTTTGCGCATGCGGTCATGCAGAGGTCGCTCAGCAAAGAATAACTTTGCTGCCGGCCTGTCCAAAATCACTGCCAATGTTGCTAGAGACCGAGTGGACGCCGCAAGTCAGCTGCAAAGCTCGTGAGAGCGCATGTGCTGTCGTGGCTCCTTGAGGGTAGCTGGTAACTTCTGCTTGTTGACCGATCAGGCGAAAGTCGCGGATGGGTTTGGCGTACGCGGGCATTGGTTTCGGTTCCACGGTTCCATGCATCACCAATTGTAGTTTCCATGCGCCCGTCGATCGCTGAACTAGGCCTATGGCTCCAGAGCTGCAGAGTCAGATCATGAATGTCTAGTCGAAAGCACATAGCAGGTGCAATTCTCCAGCAGGCAGGTGCCAAAAGCCCATAGGAACATTTTCAGCAGTGCTCCGGCCCCAGCCAACTTATCAGAATCATGGACAGCAGTCAGCACACACCTGGAACGACAAACAAGCAAGGCAAATCGACATTTATCTCCTTTTATTAGTATTATTATTATTACCGCGGGCGCACTCATTCTAATATTATTCCGGGCGCAAAAGAGATTAATATTAGCCCGGATAAATAGTAATAATATTGTGTTCACGCGTGTGTAAAAGCCCCACAAAAAGATATTAAAATTGGGGCTTTTGTACACACGCTTATAATATAATGAATGCGGCCTACATTATAATTATTATGGCCGCCGTAATATTAGTATTAATAGTGTTTTCAAGACGTTGTCGAAGCCCATTCAGATCGGGGCTTTCTACCGAACATTCGTGGCCGCTGCTCTATGGCTGCATGCTGGTGCAATGGTGGCTGTCACTAGCAGGTCCATGTGCCCAAAACTTCCTGTATCTGCAGCAGTGCTGCAGCACATTGGTAGCAAATTGTAGAGCTATGTGGGGGAGGGATGGGCTTTGGTGCTTTTGAGAGCCAACTTTGGGCTCGGTATCTGGGATTTCCAAGCCACGGTTCGGCTGTTTGGGCTCGGTTGAGGTTCGGCTTGGAAGGCCGTGTTTTTGTAGTCCATTGACAGCTCCGGACAGTTCGTACCAAACTTTCCTGACATGGACACACACACACACACACACACGTGCACGGACTCTGCGCCCTGAGCGTCCCTCAGCTGGATACCCCAAACTTGTGCTTTGGAGTCTTGGAACCCCAGAGTTCCGTGCAGGCTTCTGTGCCGCTGGTGCTCCATCGCTGGGCGACTACTTTGACAGCTTTCCCGGTTTCGATTCGGACTTCTCACGGGATGACTTGTACCTCCCGCTAGGTTCTGCGGGCAGATCTCAGACACATGCAGACATACCAAGACATCACAACAGGTACGGCTACGGGTCATTTGGGGACTTTCGGCGCTTCACTCTCAGTGGACCAAACTGCAGCATATTGCACGCGTGTTGCTGCGACTATGCTCGCACATGCTTGCACACGAGGCGGAAGGAGCTATGACGACTACTTCGGAGGCGGCGCAGGCTCCTACGGAGGAGGCTTCAATGTCGGACCAGCTGATCGGAAAGATATGAAAGATGCAGGACGCCGTCATACACTGCTACACTGAAGATCCTCGCTAGTGTAGTGAATGTAAAGTGAGTGCGTATGGGCACGTCGTGAGGAAAAGACGACTGCTCACGCATTGAAGCTGACGGTGTCCCGCTCGCTGACCTACTCATGGAGGTGCCCGACTTGTGCAGTCATGCGTCTTGCGGGGTGGAGATCGTACGGGTGATCGCATGTGCAGTTCTGCGGGCTGGAAGGCCGCAGAGAACCTGCCGGCGAAGGTTTCTGAAGCATCGGCTCAAGTTCTTGAGGCCTCCTTCGGTCGTTATTCTATTCGGGCATGACTCTGGATTGGCTGTCAGCTCATCCACTTCTTCTCCAGCAAGGACGCACAAAGTGGGCCAAATCGATACTGGGCTGGGCACTGGGTTGTAGCTGACTTGGTTTCATAATCGAGGAGCACCAGGCTTTTCTGCTTGGCCATTGCCCGCAAGCAGTGGCACTAGCTGTGCTGTTGGAGGCCGAAATACAGGAATCGGACTCAGAGTACTGCTTGTGGCCCACTCCTTGAGAGGGTGTGTGAGTTTCCTTCAGGTCACCGAATCATCGGAAGGCAGCTGTTGCAGTTGCTTTCAATTGCTCTTGGCGTCGCTTTTCGTGACATCATCGCTGTGCAGCAAGGCGCCTATGCGGACGGTGTGCAGCGAAGAGCTGTGCGGTCCCCACACTCGAAGTCTTCGGAGCTTGCTTGGGTAGGGCGCGCCCGGGCATCTTGGTGGCCCCTCATTGTAGGAGGCGACGACTACAAATCCCCGGCTTTGAACACTTGGCTTGTTAGGAACGCAGACATACGCACACTTACGTCAAGCGGAGGCAAAGCTACAAAGCGACAAAGCCCTATTATAGCAGATAGCCTGGCCAAGGTGTTGCAGCTCAGTGACCTCCTGGACAAAGCGCAGGCGACCTGGCGAAGCCCCTTCAAGGCTCGGAGCACCGCCCATGAAAGGAACATGATCGGACTCATTTGGGAGAAGAAGGCAAAAACACCACCAAAGGCCCTGCCAACGTGGAGCGGCAAATGGGGGGAGGTGCTCGGTGCAGCCCAGCTGGTACCTGAGACTCTTCTAAATCTCTCCGATTCAGGTCCGCCCGTCTGTGAACTCTGACATGCCAAGGAGACGAACTGGAATCCTTCTGTTTCCAATAGGCGCACAGTACATATGCAGCCTTCATTCATGGCTGTACAACACTTCTGATTTGTGTACCCGAAGGTGAGCAGCAGTTCCACGTGGATTTTGTTCCGGCTGCAAATTGGCCAAGGGCACAGCTTCGCCAGGCCAATCAAGGAGCCAGCAGGTGAAGTTTACGAAGTTTACAGTACACTCAGTACAGTGCTAAGTGTACTAACAGCCAGTGCTTGGCAGTGACCAGCATTTCCACGGTTCGCTGTGTTGATTCGGGTTTGAGTTGAAGAGAGGGTCGGTGTCGGCAGCCTCTGTCTTCAGCCACTCGCAGTCGTCACTGAGAAAGGCATTGCCAGACTGTCGGGCAATGGCCTTGCACAGCTGAGCACGTCGGGCCGTGCAGGTAAAGAGGGGTCGTTCTGCATCCTCCCTGCATCCGGACCCCCGCACGCCAGAAACAATTGGGGCCCTTTGGGCCTGTTTTGATTTGAATCGGTGTCTCCCCACAAGAGGGGCCCAGTGCCAGCTTCCCTGGGCTAGTGGCCACAGTCTTGCGGGCCTTGTGTTTGTAGAGCCCCCCACAAAGCCTGGCCCAGCATCACGAGGTATCACGAGATTTTGCACGAGCATTGCAAGCTCCCCATTACACACGCCGAGGTCGATCTGGGCGAACCGGCGCTGCCGAGGGCGGAGGGACCTCGGAAACCTCCAGGTGGCAAACGTGTGTGGCAAACGTGTGTGGCACTTCTGGGAGCTTCCGCGATGCTCCATGATTTTGGAAGTGCCAATGTGATCCGTGCCCTTTCAGGGCACTCTTCTGGCAACGTGCCTGGAGAAGTGCCTCTCCCACCCCTCATGCAGGCGCGTTTCTGAAACACGAGCACTTGGCTGAACGAGTGTTGCTGCGGTTCGCTGTGGGGGTCCACCATTCCATTCCGCACACAGGGCCACAGGAGGGCATCATAGCTCTGCGATGCTCATGCATTTCCAAAAGAATTTTATGAGAGGTCTGCTACGTTTTGGCACTGGCAGCCCGGAGGGATGGGCTTCGATCAGCGTCACTCGGAGAGCAGTCCAGAGTCTAAGTATGTCTATGTGTGCACAACGAAGAGGAAAGACGTGCACGCTGAGAAGTTGCATGTGAGAGGTTGCTTTTTGTCTTCGTCTTGTACCTTTGAGCTCTCAACGGATGAAGGCAAGGACTGGTGTGGGCAAATGTGGCCACGTTGCGGACCTGCCTCTGCCCGACTTCAGGAGCTGAGAACGCCTTCCTTTTCGAGAAGTTGGCCGTCCTGTCACAGCAGGAGCAACATGTGGTGCCAGAGGCTCGGAGGCTGAGGACTGGCTAAAGATATCTAAAGATTCTTAGATGTCACATATGACATCTGAGAGGTTATGGTTTCAAAAGTGTTCATCGGTGTATGAGGCAGCAGACGATCCGGACAAAACGTGCTGCCTGGGCGCCTCGCGCAGGACACCAAGTCCTTGCTCTCGACTCAGGGTGTTCCTGTAGGATCTTTTCTGATATGAGTGGCTGCACATGCTTGCAAGTTCCAAATCATTTAGGCGACTGCATCCGGCGCGACACGCTTGTGGCTATTGGGCGGTATTGGTGTTGACCCATTTGCGAACTCCTCTGCGCCACATCCCCAGCAACTCCGTACAAAGCAGACGCTGAAGTGTCGGCGCTTCGGAGTTGCTTGCAGTTGCTTGCATCGCCTGCCAAAAGGCCAGGCAACGACCAGGACGGGCCTGGCAGTGCTAGCGTCAGGCATGTTGCGGCCTCGGGAGATTCGGATCAGGAGGCCAAGCCTGAGAAGGAGGGCAAGAAAAGAACCGGGAAAGGACGCCCAGACCGTTGCTGGCATCTTTTTCTCCAGCACGCTCTCTTTGCCATTCCAGGAAAGGGCTCAGCAGAAGCAAAGAGGGCTGGCAAGAGGTGGGTTGAGGAGATTTCTACTGAACCGCCGCAGTCACCTGATTGCTCGAAAGCGCAGGCGGAACGCAACAGCAGGGACAGGTGCTCAGGCGTAGAAGCTCACTCCGACTTGCTACTCTCCTTCTCAATCATGTTCGTCTGATACATTCTTAGGTTGGATGTGGTGGAAGCCTACTTGTCGCGCCATGTCCAGAGCCCGGGCTTCGACATGGCCACCATCAGGACATATGAGGACACCCGAAACGGTTGGAAAGGTCGAGCTGAGTGGTGAGCTGCCTCCCTTGCGCTCGTTGCCCTACAGCAGCAACGAACCAAGCACCGCCATCGAGTGTCCAATAAAGATATAGGGAGTCAGAATTTAGTCATACTTGAGCCATGTTCTCAGGGCTGGGAGATGTGTGGTGGAGCGCGGATGAAGGCAGCAGCTGGACATTGATGCAGCAGCAGCCTCGGCAAGGCGACGCAGCTCCTAGTAGGTAACTAGCGGGGGGGGGGGGGGGGAGTGAGAAAGACTCCCTCTTAGATGCTCTCTGAGGCAGATGGCACCCTGGGGTCCGCGAGCGTACTTCGGTGCAGTTGCTGTGCAAGACGGTCGGTATCTGCTGGTCTTCGGCGGCATTGTCACTCCCAAGGCGCCTCCGGTTGAAGAGTAATTGTTGAAGAGCAACAGAAGAAGTGTGCTGCTTCAAGTACCCTGGCAGAAGTGCCAAATGCATGTCGCACTTCCATGCGGTGGTCATGCATGTGCTTCTGGATGTTCAGGACACTGGCAATTCAAGCCTGGATGGACTTGGAAGGCAGTATGCTCCATCCTTAGCCATCTTAGCCCTTCCCATCTGATCTTCCTTCAGGAGTACTTAAATCATGTCGTATGAATGTCAGGTTAATGATGTCTGGTACGCCGACTTGTCCGATGCTTCGCCCTCTTTCCACGAGCTCTCACCTGGTCCCTGGGAGCCGCGGGCAGCGTTCCAGGTCACGACCACAGCTTGACTCCAGAGACAGCCTGTGACAGCTTAAGCTTTGCAACCAAGTCGGAGTGCCCCCAAAGCCGAAGGCCTTGGTTTGGAAACCTGGCCGCCTGAGCGGTAAGGCCCCGCACACATGTCTGACACGTCGTGCATACCGACACGAGCCGTGTGCGTGTCGGTGGGATGAGATAGCTTGCAAGCTGACGACAACTGCTTTACTGCGACTCTGGGATCATGTCAGGCAGATGTGGAAGAGGTCGTTCTTATGGGTGGGAGGACGCAGGAAGGCACTCTGAAGAATGACGCCAGGGCCTCAGAAGCTTCTTGTGAACGCTTCGGCGCGAGCTGCAGACCTTTTTTTTTTCCGCTGGTTAGGTTGCGCAGAATTTCGGAGATCATGTTACATCAATTAAGCCGGTGACCAGTACGTGTCTAACGATCCTTTTCTGCACCCTTTTTTTGGAGGTCTGGGCACTGCCGCTGGAGAACATGGAGAGGTGTGCGGACATGCCATGGTAAGGTCTTGGTGTATGATGGCGTTTGCACACCGTGTTATAATTGAGCCGTCAGTGTAATAGTGGCAAAATGGGATGTAAGCCGATTGCATGACGGACTGCCCTGCTCACGAAAGAAACAACGAGGCTTTCTTGAATCATTGCCAGGTTGTTCTCAGGCAGCGCTTCGACCTGGGAGCGGAGAACATCGTCCGCTGACTGGCATGTGCCCAAGCATCCCAAGTCACCCACAATCACCCACGCCGGCACACAAACACACCCACTCACACACCCTCGCACGTTTTGTGGGTGCTTGGGAACATCCTGTGCCGCGCGACACCCATGGTACCAGTACTGTCCTGTGTAATTATGCCACAGACCACGCTGCAACAAGGTCTCCACGCTCAGAATTCGCAGCGGCCACGACGATTCCGCATGGACAAGCTGGCATGCTTTATTAAGTACCTTCCACCTTGTCAGCAGCCTTGCTTTAGAGCTTGATGCCGAAGGTGTTTGGATACTGGGCGGTTGTGGCGAGGTCGCTCTCCACCATAGAAGCGTGCGTTGCTTCATCGTACTCTTATGCATGCTGTGTAAATTGAAGGCGCTTTGCAGCGCAGGCTGGCGCTGTTCTGGCGGATGTGTGGCAGAGCCGCGATCTGCAGATGTGGTCCCAGGCTTGCAGAATCTGTAGGAATAGAATTGCCTGTGAATGCCTTTAAAAAGCACATCTTATGTTTTGACCGCTCTGCCTAGCAGAGGGACTAGCGTGGATGCACGCATGGGAGCGCCGTTGGAAGGTGCAGCCGAAGGCTCCATGGGGACCTTGCGTTGGTGGATCTGCTGCCATGGCCTCAGTTGCCGCACATGCAGAAAGTCGACTCTAAATGGGGGATTCAATGATCAAGGGGGACTACATATTCTGCATGTGTCGATGCATGTTGTGGGTTTGGTCGCAGTTCAGAGCCAGACAGGGCGAAGAAGTGAAACGCCTCTTCGGGAACTTCGGGTCCGGTCGTTCCTGAGACTTGCTCAGGGCTGTTGGCCAATTGTTCAGTTCGTGTGGAGCCGGTAATTGGAAATGGATCTGCGAAAGGATAAGAGAGCAGGACTATCATAATCCCCTCCCCTACAGCAATAGTACTACTCCCTCCCCTCCCTCCTGATCTCTTCCCACATCCCCTGTGGATTCCAGCGCAGTACTATAACTGTTTAAGTTTTTGTTTTTGGGAGGCTTCAGGCACGCACCGTTCGCAAAGCTCAAGAAATCATTTCATGGTTTGGGGTTAGGTTTAAGGTTCCGGTTTCAGGCTTTGCCTGAAGGGTTGTCACCAACAAAGGTGTGTGGAGTTTGATTAGAACTTATGCACGCTGATTTGCATAGTTAACCCCCTAGTTCTAGATATTTGTCCGGTCGGATGGAAGTTTTGAATCTTTGGGGGGATGGTATGAGGGGGGGAGTGCTTGCTCTGCAAATGAGGTGACTCTCAGCCTGGGCGACATTACGGATGAGTCCTGAGAAATGCTGGATGCAGTGTGATGCTAACTGAAGTTCTTCACGCCGAGGGTGTTCTGCTGTTCGGTGGCTACGCCTATCCAGATGCCGACTTCGGGCCCCTGTCTGTGCCTAAGGAGAACTCTGCGTCGGTTCCTTGCAGTGCACACGAGCCTTTGGTAGCTTGCCGAGGCCTCCAAGTTCGCAGGAGGAGGCGCGTGCGATTGAAGTACAAGCAAGAGTTGCCGGCAGAAATAAAGAGAGCATGAGGCGTCAGCGTGGTTCTCCAGTGATGGGGAACTGTGGTTGTCATTTGGCCCTGAATTTCTTGCCTGGACGCCTGGTGCCTAGCTCGAGCAAGATGTGTTGATATGTGCTATGGGTTTCTTTGTCTTCGAAGCTGCAGGCAGCAAGCATTGGGCACTGGTGTTGCAAATAGTCCTCTGTATTGTTTCCATCTTGCACATGTGAGACGCAGCGCAATGTGCTCATCCTTGTGGTCTGCATCAGCCCATCCGAGAGGTCGGGCACGACGCACGCAGCAGCAGCGGCTGCGCCGTGCAACATGTCCGGATCAAGCGAAGGCGCGGTGTCGTGACGTTGTGGCTTGTCCTGTTCTGTCTGTTTCTGAGCGCCATGCAAGGACAGCTCTGTGCTTATGTTGCCGGTGGAACGAATCGGGAAGGTGCCTGGGTCCGGAGTTCCATCATGCCGTTGACAATGATATCTGACCGGCAGCTATGGAATCCCCTCTCCAAGGCTACTACGACAACACCGTTCGCCAGCTGCGCTTGGGTGACCGGGAGGCCTGAAACTGCGCTCTCAAGACATCCGAAAGAGTGGTCTCCAGTGTCAGGCCAGGTTGCTGGACTCACCCAGAAAAGTTGGAGGCCACCCCTGCTCTTGAAAGTGTCGAGACACTGTCGGTCTTGCTGGCCTGCGAAGTCCTGAAGCCAGGGCCAGAACGGTCGGCTTCCACCTCCACGCCAGATGGCCCTGAAGATCCTTCGCGTAGCATGCAGCAGGCCGAAGTTCCAAAACTCATCGCAGATTTCCTGATGCTTTGTTCATGCATCTTCTGAGCGCTTTCTCTGTTGCAAGTGACTGTCCTCGGTCCCACTCTCAGAGTCTCAGAGGTGGTGGCAACTTGCCTCTTGGGGCTTGCGCTGCCCCTTTGCTATCTCCTCAAGCCGAAGGCAGCCTTGCCCGCGAGCACTATCGAGCACTGTAAGCACACTGTAAGCGGAGCAGCAGTGGAGAGGTCTGAGACCGTGACAGGCCGTTATTCCAGTTGACCCCGCGGGACGTTGCTACTTGAAACTCCTACTGGGCACGCTGCTTGGACAGCCACTGTCGCAAGTGGAACGGCTTCTGCATTAGAACTGAGAAATAGAGCTTCTGGAACGAGAGAGGCTTGTTCATCTTGCTTGTGGGCATGGGCGTACTGGTCGGATTTGCTCCTGGACTGCAGCTGTATAAGATTATTAGTATGTGGCAACGACATTCACACAGACTTGGGTTCTCTGAGGTGCTATCTCGATTCTCGCAGGAGCTGGCGCAGTGAGGTTCTCAGACTTTAGCTCGTGCGCGTGCACGATGGCTTGAAGGCACGAGCGCAAGACACTGAGCACGCTTGCCTGCACTCTTTGTAAATGGGGGCACGAACGCACCCTGCCCCACCCACATACCACACACACGTAAACACACACACACACACACACACACACAGACAAACACAGACAGAGAGAGAGAGAGAGAGAGAGAGCGAGAGAGAGACTCGCACAGTCTAACAGCAGTGAAGAGAGACTTGTGAATATCATTGCGAGACTGCCAGGAGACTGTCAGAATGTTCAGTTGTTCAGTGAACCTTCTCAAAACGCTCATGTAGGTTCTTGCTTTAGGTTTCTGACCAAATTAGCCAAACCCGAGAGCAAACGGAGCTGATATGTGTAAGACGCGATGTGTTCCTTGCTGACCAAGTTTAATATGTGAGGAAACAGACTGATTAGTAGGCACAGCTTGTGCAACCATAGTCATAGTCGCTAAGTACAGGAGTGGCTGTCGTTGGTGCCAGCACTCTTGTGCTGCTTGCACCCCTCGCAGCTAACTGCTGGATGTTTCGAAAGAGGCGACATGTCCCCTTTTTTTGACACACACACACGCACATGCAGGCGCGCATACGAACTCTGCAAAATGCAGTTTCACTCGCTCAGATCTGCGCAGATCTGCTCTGAGGCTCCGTGCAGAGAAATGCCACCTCGATGCGCATCTCTTGTCGGAGTCGGGAGCCGAGACTCAAATCTTGTCAACCAATTGAGTCAACCAGGTGGAGTCAACCAGACGAGTCAACCAGTGGAGTCAACCTCTCGCCTCTGAAAGTTAGCTTAAGACTGCTACAAGACTGCTACACGTTGCTACGCATTATCACGCACTGCTACGCAGGTTGCGAGACACCCTGGGCCTCACACAGGCTGCCAAGCGCTGGGACGAGACGCGGCCTCATGACGCGATTTTCCTGAAAGCTCTGACTCCGCACTGCTGCCCAGGTTTGAGGTCCTGCTGCGATTGGCATCTCGGGAGTCTGTTCCCCAGCTTGGCACCAGCTGGCAGTACCGATCAGTAGATCGGAGCGGGAGTGGCAGGTCACAGTACTACGCGTATGGATTTGGCTCAAATCTTAGTTGCATCATGCTGTTGCTTAGCATCTCTTGCGCTGGCGTGCAGACCGAACAAGTCTAATACGTTTTTATGAAGCTACCCCAAAACAGGTAGTGACATCGCCAGCCAAAAGCAACAAGACCAACCAAACAATCCGAACTAAACCCTGAAGGAAGAAGGTGAAAGTCACAAGCAAGCCACTGAGAAGACGACGAACGATCCATGAAGACGAAAGTCGCCCAAAGCTTCTCCTGAACAAACTCCATCCACCGACCCAGGTGAGGAAAATCAACACTGTGGCCCTTCACAACCCACCACCGAACTCACAAGGCCTGGTGAGGGCGACAAGGAAGGGCGGCATCAACGGGTCTGTGGGGACACCGCCAAAAAGCATGGTCCCCCCCGACGAGGATGCCAAATGCGCGCCGCACAGGGCCGAGCAGCAATGCGACCACATAACGGAGCCAGTAAGCGAGCAGGATCGAACAGGTATACGGAACCCTGACATGACGTGCCAGTATGTGCCATTGCAACTGCACAAAACCGGCAAAGCGATGGCAAGGATACATCAATGGCAAGGCAGCAGCAGATTCCTTCAACCCTGCAATGGCACAGCGATACCAGATTATCTGAGTGACAGCCGAACTAGCTGAAGTCTATAAGACCGGATAGCAGGCGATGGCAGCCGATGAGGCCCAGAGAATACCGCTGACAACCAACCGATGTAGATTCGCCCAAGGTTTCTGTTTCCAACAAGTCATTCGATCGTGGCATTGGAGCCCTTCAACCACCGTCACCACCCAGCCCCACATGGCGGATGAAGCCAGCGCAGGACCAAGGAAGGGCAAACATCGACAAGCAAAGACAATCACATCCCAGCAGGTGAGCCTCTTGCCCGCTTGCTTGCCTTCTTTTTTTGACCCATCAAGTTGCTACTGTCATCTACTGGTTGATCACCGCTGCGCCACGCTGACCTTCATTTTTGACTTTGCTTCATGTCTTGTGCTTTGCGTGATTTGTTGATCCAGGTTATTGATATTACGTACAGTAATGATATTGTAAGGTGGAGGGAAATCTGGCGATCCCTATGGCTATGGCTACGGCCGATACGATCGAGGCGCGTGATTTCGTAGTGGGTGCTTTTTGCCGTGCGCTGCATTGCGGAGGGTATGATGGCTTTGGCGGCGCGGATGAGATGTCTGGGCGCGAGTCAGCTCCCAAAACGTGCTGCAATGTTGGCTCAGCTTGTTCTGGAGGTCATCCATGCAGTGCCCACAGCCACATACTTCAGGGTGTCGAAGTAAACCGAGAGGATAGGCCTCCACTCGACTTCATCTGAGCAATGAGGTCCGGGCCAAAGGAAGACTCCCCGCAAAGCCTGAAGAAGGAGCTCAGCATGCTCCCCACTATCCAGGCCCGATTGCGAATGAGGACGAGTCGTGCATTTTCAGGGCTGCGTCTGTCTGACCGGAGTGATGGGAAATGATGGAGTGTGATGCCACCCAAGCTCGAGCATGAACGGGTTTGAGAGATGTCTGCTATTGACCGTCGTACGTGCCCTTGGGTTGCCAGTCGGTGTCCTGCCGAACTCCGAAGTGCGATCGCAACGCCACCTGCGCAAGCACTTCACAAAGGCGGGCCATCTGCGAAGTCAAGCAACTTAAGAGCTATGTGCATGCAGTCCAATCACTGTCGCAACCGAACGTGAGAAGGTCATTGCAGACCCCGTGCCCAGCTTTCAGGAGTTGGCACAGAGTGGGTAGATCAGGGGTTTTCCGAGTAGGTCAGGACGTCGCTGCAGCAGTAGCCTCCTCATGCATCGTGTGTCGTTAGAGGTACGGATGCTGCAGTGACTACATGCTCTTGATGTTGGCAGATGTCACCGGATGGCTCCATGAGCAGGGCATTCCATACTTCATCACCTACGGAACTCTGCTGGGTGCAAGCAGTGCAGAATGATCCCACACGGCATCTGCATCACAGTTCGGACCGCTGTGTGAAGGTGCCGTGCGTGAGAAGGATATCCTGCCTTGGACCCAGGCAGGCGGGTGTGGGAGCTTTGAAAGAAAGCTTGTCTTGGCCACTTCGCAGGACATGGACATCGTCGTCGATCGCCGCTACTGGCCCCAGCTTCAGCGGGGCTTGGAGGCCCTTTGCCCCATTGATGCCCCTGCCCCGTTGATCCTCGATGCGATGCTTGCTCGTCTTTCGGAACTTGAAAAGTTTCCTTGTACGGTGTGATGTGATACGATGCAGGCTGCAGAGTTCTTTGGGGGACGGCGCTACCTCTTCGGAGTGGATCAGTGGGAGGCAGTTCAGCAAGGAAATAGCCAACGCATTCATGCTACATTCCTCGCGTCGCTGCAGGAGAAGGTCTCCAGAGTTTGCGCTGACTGGGAGGGCTTCGCTTCGTCCATCATTGGTGGGTGTGGCTACTCAGAGGATGGCTTTCAAGCAGTATTGATTTCTGCACAGAGTGCCGCTCAACATACCGAGGCAAGAAGGCGATCGGTTTAGTCGGCCAGCAGACTTCCATTTGGATGCCAGTCCCTTTGTAATCCCGCAAGCATGTTTTCAATCAAGCATCCAATCGACGACTCCTATTCAGTGCACTTACTGCTTGTCTCTGAACTGATGACTGTTGTCAGTGCCTATTACAGCATACTTGTCCGAGGTGTATGCGAGCGACTGGTGGCAGATCACGGACCTTCACCTCGTCGATTGTGCACGGTGCTGGGAGCAGGATATGTTTGATTTGGAGCTTGCCGCGTTGTTTCGATTCGCGTTTGTCATCGTTTGTCAGTCTCAGGTCGAACCTCTTGGCACCAACCTGCAAATACGTGGGCGCAACTTTTCGGCGCCGGCGCGACCGAGAGCGCCTGTCTCTTAGACTGAAGTACGGCTGAGTCTCTGAGTTGGCACACCCATGCGACACATCACCGATCACACCCTGTTCAAGACGAGGTGCGTGGAGAAGCTCTATGGAGCGGCGCGGGCCTTGCTTCCATGTCAAGCGTTCACTTTGTGTTTAATGTATTTACGTAATGTCTGTAGAAGTGGCAGCAGGAGTGGCGAACTCCGAAGAAGGCGCTTGCTGGCGTGAACTAAGCGTCGGAGTCGGGCATTGGAATCCTGACTCCTGAATTGTTTAATGCATGCCTTTAGCTTTAGCAATGCAACATGCTCATTAACAGTGCTTACGCTGCGTCTTGCTCTCGATTGAGAGGTTTTGTGCTTCGTAGGACTAGGATAACGAACAGTGCGGCTGCACAAGGAGGCCATTTGTCAAAACTGCTCCGGCGTGCAAGGGCCGACTCGGAATGTGGAATGTGTGCCAGGCATGATCGTGGTGCAGAGGGGAATAGAGGGGATGAAAATGGGAGGAGATTGGGATGGAGCACTTTGGAGCAGTGATGAGCAGTGCATGCGTGGCAGCTGATTTTTTTAAGCAAATTGAGCACCCTCTGAGCCTTGCGATGCCCCGGTGATGCTGCGCAGACCGGGCCGCAGCTGCCAAGGTGCAGGGTGGGCTCTGTTGCAAGCATTCGATCTGTGTTCTAAGTCGAAGCCAAAGCCGTGCCGAAGTCGAAGCCGCTCTTCCTGTGTCATTGAAGTTGCCAAAGGGGCCCTCCTCGCCACTGCCGGGGTCATCTTGCTTTCGCGCTCGCCGTGCCCCCGGCACGATCCCAGACCAGATCGGAAATCCGGGCAGTACGGCAGTGCCTGAGGCCTGACCAGAGCTTGGAGCACTGGTCAGACAGCCGAGATGCGTGCGACCAAGACCCCGCGCAGTCGCTGAAAGGTGCCACTCAGAGGGGCAAGTCGCGGTATGTCGGACAGGCCGTGGCTTGGATGTGCCCTCCACTTGCCAGAAATCAGGCCCGGTCAGCGAAGCGGTGGAGACCGCTGAAGATGTTGGAGTCATATGGAGTTCTGAGTGTCGGTTGGCGAGGCAGCTCCCTCGATCGGACGAGGCCGGTGTCGTTCTGCCCGGACTCTCCCTTGCCTCTCCACATCTCTTCAGGTTTGCAGCTTGCGTTCAGGTTTGCAGCTTGCGGAGCCTTTTGCAAGCTGCCAGCCCACACCCAGGACGCGTCTTGCATGTACATGCATGTGTGGAGCTTTTGAAAAGGCATGCATTAAGCCACGAAGACGGAATCAGAATGAGACTCCTATTCGATGGCTCTCCACAGAGTTCCGACTTTCGAGGCGCAGGATGGGCACATTGCCTTTGAGAGCTGGTGCTGAGCCAGCCACGTACTCATGTTGGGTTCCACATGTTCTGTGGAATCATCGTCTCGCTTCATCTCCCACCCAAAAGATCCCCCGAAAAAGTTGAGTGTTGAGGTTCGGTCTATTGAGTCTGCGAAGCGTCGAGCCCCCTGGACACGTTCCTTGGCACAACTCGCGGGAATGCAGTATGGAAATCATGTGGGCCCAATCTGGGCAAGGACCGACTTGCTTGGGAGGGAACCGAAGCAGACACCGACACCCAAAGCCTCCGGAGCTTCGCCTTGCTTCTGCAAAATTCCCAAGCCAATGAGTCACCCAGGCTCCATGTTGGGTGTTCTGCTGGGACTTTGCCTTGGCTTTGCCGCAGCTTCCAGTGCGAAGGCTTTGCTGGATGTTGCTGTTTAAGGAGTTCAAACCCTTTGACGAGTGACATCGAGCGCCATCGAGTGCCATATGAAGCGTGTTCAGTCTACAGGCCGCCACGGCTGCCGTTGCAGCCAGGCCAGTTCTGCAGAGCTCTCCACGGTCTCCACGTGACAAAATGTCACCTTGAGTCACCAAGCAGGCCCCACCTTGGAATCCGGTTGGCAACCAAGATGAAGAGTGCTTTTTCTATACCCGCCGGGCTCTTAGCCTAATCTGCCGTGTTGTTCTTTAGTGGGGCAGCTGCTCATATGCTCATATTCCAGGATTGGGCCATCCTAATGATGATCTCAGCTTTGCCATTAGCCAGGCACTCAGCCAGGTCTGTTTGCGCTCGCCGGCCCCTTCCCTCCCCCCCACCCCCCCGCTGTGGTGCACGGGGTTCCCTTCCCCCCCTGTCGAGTGCTTCGAGCGCTTGTGGGGTTGTGGGGCTGTTGTATTCACAATTAGGGGTTGGGGTTTATGGATAGGAGTTGAGGATGTAGGTTCACTAGGTTTGTTTTTTCAAGTTTATATGGTATAGGCTTCAGGCTTGGTTTTGCCCTCGCTGGGGTATGCATGGGGGGGAGGAGGAGCAGTAATGGGAAGGGGAGAGCCTGTGGATGCCGGATCTTATGTTCAAACTGCTAGGTCGAGCTTCGCGGAGGCGTGCCAGTCGGCTTGTGGATGGGACTGGCCGTGCCGCAGGCCATCAGGCTTTCAATGTCGCATGCACAGCATGGTCTAGTCCTCAGGTGACTGCGATCGAAACGTTCAAATGCGCCGCATGCTACTTTGGTATTGGGAAGCTGTGCAATAGTTGATCCCGTGGCTGCAACAGGAGATCGTCAAGAATCGTTTTAACCACCGCATTTTGAAACAACCGCTTTACAGCCGCAAACAGGAGAACTCTCCAGCAAAGCACTCGGCCCTGTGCAAGCCAGGTGATGTTGCTCTGTATTGTGGGCAACATGATACCAATCCCGCTGATCCTTACAGCGCTCAGGACGGCTGCAAGGCATTCGCGGACAGTGGCATTCCAATTCCTGACGTCGGCAAGGATTGAAAAGATGAAGCAGCTGCTGTCACCGCTGCTAAAACGTGCAGCACAGCGGCCTGGCACGAAAGCAGCCAATTGTGCTTCAAGTTATGGTGCTTGCGGCACTCAAGCTGCTGCCCGATCAGGAAGACAGAGCCGATCGGAGCCCATGACCGATGGGTGGGTGTCGCCGCGTATGACCCTGAGCAAGTGATAGCAAGTGTGAGCGAGGCGAGGTACTCCAGCATGGTGAGGAGTGGGCCTAGCAGCCTAGCAGCCTAGCATGTTTCATCACAAGGTTCGTCGGCGTCCCTTTGCCTGGGACAGGGGCATGGACCGGAGCCATGGCCACACGGCATGCGAAGTTCTACGAAGTTGTGAAGGGCCATGGGTGAGTGGCCCTGCTCAGTAGCTGTACTAGGTTGAACATGGCTCATCTTCTCAAGCCTGAAGATTCAATCCGCTACCGTAGTATTGCTCTGGACGGGTAGATTGCAGAAGCCAACGAGCCTGCTGAGGTTGCCTACTTGCTGGGGATGGACCTCTGGGAGGCTTCGAACGTTCGTAGAGGGCGGATGTTGGAATCACCCCGTCCCGGCCCAGGCAATCACGTCTGCACGGAGCTCGGTGCGGCTAGGGGCTGCTCTCCAACCTATCTTCTGCAATGTGATGTTTGCCTTCTCTGTAGGTCCTAGCAGGAGTCGTTGTGGCTGCCTGCATCATGGCGTCTCCTCCTCAGATTGGAAGGTTGCCAACTGTTTGCTTGAACTACTGCCGCGGTCGTGTGATGAAGGTCGCTGACCCTGGCCGGCTGGTTTGGCTGTGCTGCAGTGGTGGCGCCGGCAAACTCGAGCCTTACGCGATCTGGCTGATTGAAAGCGCATGTTCGCCAGGTGTTGCTGGGCATCGTCGCATTGGCCAGCAGATGGTTGCAGATGAAGTGATGCAAGTGATCCGCTGGACCGAGCGGACCCATGTGCCTGTAAGCAAACTTTGCAACCTTTGCAAACACCCGAATTTGTTCGCCCCATGCAGGCCACATGAGAAGGCACTCTCCACACTCCACGACTCCGCGAACAAAAACCCGTGACACGACTCGGGGCAAAGTAACTAGCATTAACTACCAACAAAAGATCACCAATCAGAGACGAGACTATGGCATCAGTGCGAAACTGTAATGTCAACTCTTAGACGAAGCTCCCAGACTCCCCCCCTGGGGCGCTTGTTAGCCTCCGTGTTAGCCTCAGCTCGATTGCCTCGATTATATTGCACAAGCCGCAAAAAGCCAAGTGCTCGAGAACGGGCGATTTGCGAAAGCTAAAACCTTCCACAGCCATACCTCTGTTGCGCGAGGCTGGACCTTCGGCTTAATATGGCTGCTAGATGCCATGTCATCATTACTTGCGCGGGCTTGGCTGGACGCTTCGTTCATGCAGCAGTCAGTCTGATACAGGCCAAAGCTACGCGACATGTGCAGTCAGCATCATTCAGCAACATGCCCGAACCCATGTAAAATCCCAGCATTGCAGCCTTTCTGATCTGTAGAGCGACACTCTTTTGGCTGCCATGCGCAATGCCGTATCGAAGGCTGTCGCAAATCCGGTCCTTAAGTGCCTCTTCAAAGATCCCCTCACTGTTCCTGGATGTCGGATCTTTCGTGAGGTCAGATGGCGATCGCGGACGGAGAGGTGGGGATCTAGCTCACATGTACCAGGGTGATGTTTGGAGTTCACAAGGGACACCCTTAAGAATCCCTTAAGATTAGAGAAGTTAGAACTCGAGACTCCGCGCAGGCCGCCGCTTCTCCAGGCAAGCTTGGAGTAGTGGCTGGGGGGGGGGGACTGCACGGCCTTTGGTTCGCCAAACCTCTAATAATCTCCAGGCGCCACCTGGGAGTTCTTTGTGCCGCCGTCTCCTGAGCTGGAAGTCCCGTGAAACCAACCGCCCTCCAGGTAATTGTAAATGAGTACATATTAGTACTTTGTGAAGTTCAAGAGCCCTCTTGGGAACGGCTGGGGGCATCCCTCGTCCAAAGAGGTGTACCAAGTATGGGCAACAAGAAACAATCATAAAGCCACCCGTGTGACGTTTGCCCAGGCAGTGGCGTGGTGTCTGGGCCAGTCAAACGGCTCTGACCCTTTGTGCAGACAGGCCTCATCCTTGCATTCTTGCCCAGCTGCATTGATGTTTGCTGTGGCTTGAACGATACGCGGACATGCCTTTTTTCCTCCAGTCTCGTCTGGGCGATGGACTCTGTGCCGTCGATGCAGCCAGTGGTGAAGACATCAGGACAACGTGAACTGACATGCACACCAAATTCTTAAGCCTGCCCATGGCTTCATAGTGATAGCGGTAGTTCTGGTCGTGCTGGTACTGCAGCAGCAACAGCAGGAAACGCGATAGAACTGGCAACAGCAACAAACACAATAGGTGATGGACCGAGCAAGAGTCAACAGCATTGCAAAGCGTCAAGATTTTCAGTCATGGCCTGTAGAATTTTCGGGAGACCCTCCTTGGAACAATGGGTTTGGGGACCATTGCGACTTGTACAGTGAAGAGGATTTGTTGACAGAGTGGTCAGACCAGCTCAGATGGAAGTAGACCTCTGCAGAAGGTTAGTTTTTGGCAGGCGCCCCCCTTTGAATGCAGGAGGAGCTTCCTGGATGCTGGCAGCCCTGAGGCGAAGGTTCCGCTTTTGCACTGTTGGCCGCTTGCCATTGTCATTGGGTTCTTAGGTTCTTGGATGCTTGCAGGCGAATGCGGGATATGCCTCCCGGGCCGAGGACGGCTCTTTTCGTTTCGCGGCTCTGGCTTTGCTGTGTTGTGTTGCATGCTTTTCGCGCAAAGCATTCAGGATCGTCCGCAAGATCGGTCAGCACCCGGAGCGGGTCAGGGCCCCGATGCCGTGGTTCCCTTGCTGTCCTTACGATTGTATCGCATCCTTTAAGCAGAGGTCCCGAGCAGCCGTCCTCTCGAGGCCAGCTATTGACAGCTCATGGCCTTAGAGCAGCTTCATTGTCCACGGGATCGTCTCGCTTGTGCCGGTTAGTGTGGAGGCTTTGCTGAGAGGCACCGAGAGCTGCGCACGCCCGTCGTGGTGGAGGAGTGCTCTTCAAAGATCTGCAGAAAGATCTGCAAAGAACATCAGAACATCATGCTCTGCCAATGCCAATTCAATGATTCGTCAATGCGCGCAATTTAAACCCTGGAGTCGCCCGGAGGACATCATTGCTGGAGCTCTGGTGGGAGCCGTCACAGGCGCCGTCGCAGGTGCAGGCAGTGGGGCCGCTTTAGGCGGCTCCAGTGGAGGCGGTCTTGTCCGCTGGCTCAGAACACACATAAACACACCCAGAACGCACGCCGAAAAGTCGCCACGAATACTTGCGAACGCGAACTAACACAATCATGTCTGGTGTGCACTCCAACGGGCTTCATTGGCTTTACAACGAGCGCCATTCTGTTGCTCTAAGGAAATGGTCGCTTCGGGGGAGGGGTAAACAAAAGTCCTGTCACTGTTATCATGTTTCTGTCAGACTGTCAACAGACTGGCCGTGTCGGCGCGTCTCCGACTCAAGGTTGGCGCTGCGGGAGGGGCCGCTTCTGGAGCTGCCCTGGGCCTCACCAGTGGCGCTGTGGCAGGGGCAGCACTAACCACCGTGAACCCCGACGTGCCGAGCTCAGAGCACAATGTGAGGTGCGAGCTGTTTTGGAGTGATGGTGCTTTTGTGAACACTCGGGCTTTGTGATGAGAATTTGATGAAGCATGACGTCAACTACTCTAGCATCATGGACCACCAGCCTGCGAGGTCGCTGCAGCCGGGGTTGGAGCAGCAGGCCGGATTGTAAACTCTTTGCAGTGCATTTCAGTGTGTGTGTGTGTGTGCATTCTTGGCCGACGGCAAAGGTGTGGGTGCAGCTGCAGGCGTGGGTGCTGTGCTCAATCGAGTTCTGTGCTCAGCCGATCTATGGCTCGAAAAGCTGTCGCCTGGAACTTCAAGGAATATTGACATATCCGCCTCACTTCAGGCGCCGGGAGTGCAGCAAGAGCCTTATGGCAGGTGGCCAGATGCCAGACTGGTGAGGGCCCCATGGGCAGTTCGCAGATGTCCGCAGCGCGTCATAAAGTCATAAAGCTGAGTCTCAGATCTCATCAGGCTCCTCAGGCTCCGCACTACATGGACGAGACCCCTCTCCCAAGAGAGAGGGCGCCGTGGTCCAGACCCCCTTCTGGGGTCCCGCAGGCGCTGTGGAACCGGGATCGCGGGGGAGTGTGTCACGCCATGAACAGTTCTACTTAGGGAATCACAGGGATCTTTCCGAAAGAGGCCCCGGCTGAGGAGTTGAAGCCGCAGGTGCAGGCAGCCGCCGTCCTTGACGTCTTCCGTAGATGTTTCCATCCTAGACGTCGATCAGGTCCCGCCATCCCCTTCAAACGTCTCTGGGACTGCGTCATCGGACACAGGACTAAACATCAGATCAAGCCGAAGTTGATGTGCTAGATTCTGCTGCACGAATGCCCGCCTGCATTCTCGTCATGCGAGCATGATGAGGAGCAGCTGCAAGTGAGGCGTCAGAACACAGCGATGGCCAGACTCAGAGCCACTCCCTGAGCACGTTAAGGTCAGATGCGGCTGTGCGCGGCGGTGGAGGGGGGGGGGGAACGCCGCGGAATAATGTTCTCGAATTTTGCAAGTGGGTTGCTGGGGCGAAGGGAGGCCTGAAAAGATAAGCGTTGGTCGCCAACCAGCCAACTCCGAAACTCTGAAGCCTCAGTGTAAAGACCAAGTCCCCCTTGCATCCCGTTACCCTAAAGTGAATGTGAGACTGGACGGGGGTTGCGGACCCGGGCTGCGTGACAAGTTGATTCCAAGCCTTCCCCGCGGTTGGAAAAACGAAGAAAACCAATGTTGTGAGAAAGGAACTATTCGGCAACTTATGCTCACCCAACATCCCCCAACCCCACCCGAAGTCACCGCTCATGGGCTGCGAGCACTTTGCCGCCGTAGACGACGTGGCTTGAATTGTGCTCGAACTGCTGTTTGTGCACCAGTGCTGGTCGGCGGCATTGCAAGTTTTTGCGAATTGTTGCAAGTTGAATAATTGCACCCTGCACTGTCAAGGTTCAGCCAAGTCAGACGAGCACGAAAGCCGCCGGTGCCTTAAGGTTCGCAGTCGCAGCAAGCTCTGCTGCAATTTTGCAGCTGCTTCGTGTGCAGCTCTCCTGGTTTTTGGGTCGTAAGTGTCCTAAGCCATAACTTAACGCCGACGTTGCCACCTTGTGAAAGTTTGAGAGATGCTGAAGCACAGGAGCATGCCCAAGTGCAGAATGCACAAGAGGCCATACTTGGGCAAGCGATGCAGCCCGCGTGCCTGTTCCTGTGTCTCAGGTCCTTCGGAGCACGCGAGCGATCTGCAACAGGTGATCCAATTCCGCAAAATCTGCGGCAGTTGCTCAGCTTGTTTCCTATGTGCAGGATCCAATGTCTGCCTTGTCGAAGCACAAGCGCTGGAAGCGAGCAAGCCTGTAGCTCAGCAGTCTTGCACCCGTCTCACCCAAAAAGCCAGACACGCACATGTGGCCCTCAACCGAGCAGGGATAGGCGACACTTACCAGTATTTACCAGTAGCACATCTTAGCACCTTCTCTCATGTCCCTCGAAATACATCGAATTGAAACTCCTCGCTATACAGTGAACGAGGTCTACAGCGAGCGAACGCCATGCTGTCCCAAGAGATTGAGGCCCGAAGCGGAGAGGCCAGGCAACTTTGACCCCATGCGGTGCAGAAGGGAGTGAGAACTGCGGTGTGGAGGTTGTGGCCAAAGGCCTTGACAGCCTTGGAGCACTACTTTCAAAGCTCCGTCAGCTTCAGGACTGTCGAGTGCGGGTCGAGTTGATGCTTTATACTGTCAGTACTCTGGCATCTTGCTGCAGGCTGCCAGCGAGATTGCCATCGCACAGGCGACGGTTCAAAGCAAACCTGTCTCCTGTCTAAGCTATAGGGCTTACACTTACACGCGCACATACATGCTCCAAACATCAGCCCCTAAAGTTCACCAGGCCACCGAACAGACTGTGCAACGAGCAAGGCCAGCTTTCGGGGTGTTAGGAGAGGCGCAGGATAGCACAGGCTTGCCTTCTCTTCGAAATCTCTTCAGTAAGCTTGCGAGGAGCCTGGGTTCCAAAGCACGTGCAGACGAAGATGGTAGCGGTTAGATTCTGACTCGATGTGAGAGTACGAGTCAGAATCGTGCCCCCCCCATTCGCAGTGTCATCAAATGGTGCATTCGATGGGACAAGGCGGCATGCTTCTTCGTTTCAAAAGGCCTTTTGAGCATCTGCAGCAATCTGGCGGCTGACGCCCGATGTCAACTTGTGGCCTGGTTTGTCGGTGATGGGAAGCTTTGGGACTCGGGAGCGGCCCAAGCTGCTGTCGCTTTTGCATGTCGCAGCACTGAGGGACAAGCATGGACAAGCAATGAGCTGTACCAGACAGGAGCAAGACAGGACGATACCAGAATCTCACCCCCTTCCCGCAGCTTGCATAGATGGGTTCGATGGGTGACCACGCCCTGCATACAGCATCCACGCGTCATGCCGGCCTACCTGATTGTAAAGCAGGGCTTGAGCCATCCGGGACCCTGTCCTTTGTGCATCCAGCTTCACTGATCTCATCTCACAAGTTCCAGAAGAAAAGCCAAAACCCGTACTGCGCGGTCATTCATGAGCACGCATCTCCAAGAAATCATCTGTAATGTCGAGACTTCACACATTCCCCGCAATGGCGTGGGCTGGACAGTCGCGGAATTGACAAGGTGGGCTGACTCCACACACCGATGGCAAGAACATCATGCCAACATCCCAATTGCTGTAGCACTGTAGCAGCCTTGCTCCTTCAACGCAGGCTCCGGGCTCGACGCCAATCCAGCATGGCAGCATGGCTGTCGCTGTCCCAGCTGTTACAGAGCATCAGGGAGCGCCGCCCATGCTCAGAAATCCGAGGCTGGCGGTGGGCGTTGTGGTGGCAGTCAGCCTGGTCATTTCTTCGGCGGTCAGCTTTTGGATGGCCTTGAGGCTTCAAACAGCATTGATGCATTCATGTTGGTGGACTACTGACCTCTCGCGTGGATGAAACAGTGAAGTCCCAAACGCGCCATACTGCGTGAGGCAACCGGATTCATTGGAGGAGCTGGGCGCTTGTGCCTTAGTCCAGCTTGTGCTGTGTCCATCCATGGCTGTGCCCGAATCGTCGAATTCACACTTCGCTTGCGGAACAAAGTTATGTCTGAGGTGAAGCCCACTTATCCGAGGAATGCGCTGCCAGAGGACAAGATCCAGGCTGCAGCAGCGTACTCCGTTTTCTACAAGCTGTTCGAAGCCGTTCTTGGCTTGCTTGTGGAGCTCTCTGCTTCCTCCATGTTCTGTTGCAGTTGAGAATACTCCGGTTGTGGAATTGATGAAGATCAGAGAAGGCCTACGAGCAACTGAAAGACAAGTTTCAAGGCGAGTTTGCCAAGGACGGCAAGAAGCTGATACATGATGTGTTGAATGGAACAGCTTGGAGCTGTGTTTTTTGTACTGGCACAGCTGTAAAGAACAAGCCGAGCAAGCGAAGAATACAGCGGTCTTAAATGAACAGAGATGCCTGGCGTCCTGTTGCTGTAAACATCGCATGTCTTGCTGTAGATGTTTTCAAGGTGCCGTACTTTCTTGCTGATGTAGGACATACCTGGAGATCAGTGGGTGTGCAAGCTGCCGGCGCATGCGAAAGATCTGCTCAAGTGCTCCAGATTCCAGAGTCCTGAAAGAACGAGTCGGATCAGCATGCATCGATCATGGTTCGCGGCTCCCTCGCGTGTGCTCACGGCTTTAAGTTTTTAACAGTTTTAGCATCGTCAACCTTTGCAAGAGGTACCGGCTGATGCAGCGCGCCATTGGAGACATGTCTCTGCTGCAAAAGATTGATGCTGATGTCCCGTACTCAAGCCGATGATGTGGAGCGTGGATTGTTGCAAAAGAGGGCAAATGCCGTTTGGCGATGGTTCGTTCAGGCCCGCGGCTATTGGAAGCTCTTTTCCAAAGGTATCATTACGTCCAAGTTTTGGAACTCGGTGGCTGGACTCAGACCTAAGCTTGCACGAGATGAATGTGGATTGCGGTGGATGCAATGCGGTGCAAGCAATGCTGTTTGCTTGTTTGCCAGATCTTTCATTTCAATCCTCCTGAGCACTACATGCGCCAACAGATCTTGGTTCATCATGATTTTCCCAAAGTGCTGCATGCAGCATGCACTGCTCTTCTGGGTTTGGAATGTTGCGGAGATGTTGAGGATAGGAAAGATATAAACATGTGCCTTACAGCCCGCCACTAGCCCGCCTTCCGGCCAAGCTTCTCATGCTGCGGATCGAGGTTTTGGCAGCTGAGCGAGAACTGTCGCGAGAAATCGAGGCTCTCAAGCTCGAGGTTCAAGCACTTAGACTTCCGAAAAGGCAAAGACTCCAAGACCAGCTGCAGAAGCTGAGGCATTGGCCATAGAGCCGTTGCAGGACCCACAGGGCATCGTGTCCGAGGTGCAGCGCAAGACGCGATGTCGAGTCGAAAAGCTGTGCAAACATCTCAGGCCATGCAGCTTGTCGTCAGATACGGTGACAAGATCTGGGAAAAGTTTCCAGAGCCACCAGAGAATCCTGGAGGCTTGGCAGCGGCATGGAGGTCTCCTTTCTTGAAATGCTCAAGAAACACAGCAATGCACAGCTGAAGCTTGTCAGATGTTACAGCAAGGGCTGCAGAGGGAAAAGAGTCAACATTCCAAAATTCATGATCGCTTGCTCAACACGGAACACTTTGGCGGCGGCGGCCAAGGCACGCACAATTTCAGACAAACCAAGATCACATAATGCTAGACTGCTAGACATTTCGTGGAGTGGGGCTTGGGCGACTGATTTTCACGTGTTTACAAACAATCCCGTACGACAATCGAGTCTTGCACATCAACAGACCAAAACGATCCAAAACGCGATGGACCGACAAATCGCTGTCACTGTCTGGCTGGTACCAAGCAGCCGCTGCCACCCACCAGCAGCAGCTTTAAAGCGGTAATGATGTCTTCTCACCTTTGGGGACAGGCGCTGCTATGGCAGCAGCAGCCAAGGCATGTCGCGATGATGCTGTCGTGATGTTTCGCTTTGTTGTGAGTTTGTTTTGGGAAGGCGGTGGCTGCGGCTGGAGGGCTGCCCAGACCTGGAGCACCACCTGGAGTACCTCCCTTCCCCCCTCCAGGGCCACCGCCAGATGCTCAAACGATCTCAAACGCATCCTTTCCTCTGGTGTCGAAGCACAGCTACTGTATTGCATAATTTTGCATGCCGAGGCCTCCGCAGCAGGGTGGGTCGACCGATGCCTACAAATGGCGGCAGGCTTGCACCATCTTGCACCATCTTGCACCGGATGTCAGCGAAACTGCATTCACCAAGCGGTTGGACTTTGCAGAGCTGCAGGACACGGAAGAGGTTGAGGTTTCTGTCCATGTGCCTGGCGATGCGGCCAAGACAGACATCAAGGTTCACAGCTGCACGTCTTGAACATTTTGGCTGACCAGAAAGCTTGACCTGAAGCTGAGGTTCACTTCCAGCCAAAGTCTCTCAAAGCACGCCTCAGTTTTTTCACGTTTGGCTTGCCATTGGCACGTGCCTTTGATACGCCGGGCCTGAGTTGCTGGAATGCGAGGTCTTGCATTGCGGAAAGACACTCGTTGAGGGAGCGCTTGCCGCACCGTGCTGCCCAGAAGGCCGGAATCTGGGATACTTTGAAGAGTCGCACGCTTTGGCTCTGCTAACACGGTTTGATGCCCAACTTTGCACTCGACTGAGGTTGCACCTGGACCTTGAGCAAAGGTGCGCTGATAGCCCGGACCTCGTCGTGTCTCGTCTTTCCTCCTTACCGAGTTGGTCAACTAACGGGTCAACTGACGGCCATACTGAGTCACGCCGCGTGAGACGTCTCTTGAGGTGACCTTGGAAAAGGCCAATCCGAAGCCTTGGCCTGGTCTGTTTGCACAGGCAAAGACCTGAAAAAAAGAAGAATTGGGTGACTTGGTGACTTGGCCAGGCAAGGAGAGCAGAAAGAGGGCCGCGGGGAGTTAGAGCGTAGCAGGCAAAGCAGGCAAAGCAGGCAAAGCAGGCAGGCAGAGATGCAATGCGATGCGCATCCTCCGCTTGCTGACCGCATGTGTGATTCTTCTGCCGTGTGGGGTCAAGCCTGATATACGGCCTCACAAAAGCTGCGAGCCCTCATAGCCAAGATCTGAGACTGAGCACACGATGCTTGCAAACAAAGAACTTGGTATTTGGCGACATGTCTGAAGAAGCTTGCGAAACTGCTTGCACTGCTTGTGTAATTTCATGTCCCAGGTGAACTTGCCAATCCATCCCAATGGTGGCTGTGACGCAAGCGATTGAGCACGAACCTCTTTTTGAGCGCCGGCCTGGGCTTGCAGAGAAGCACCTCGCAGTTGTGCGCGTGCGCCCACGCACCCGCTGTGGCAAGTTTGCACAGGTTTAATCCGGCTGCGCCGGAGTTCAGCCCATCGCAGCCAAACTGGCCCGGGTTGGCATCAGAGCTGAGAGTGCAACACCCAAATCTGCCAAAGTTGCCATTGGTGGACACGGTTAGCTTAACTTCCTCTATAACATGCCAACGTATAGCCAAGTCTCCTATATGTTTCCGTTTTGGCTACGGATGTTCAGCTTTTCACGCCTTGCTCGCGCAGACGGCGTCCAGTCAGAGTTTTTTGCCGACGCAGCTTTGGCAGCTGTGTAAGCGACCGGCCATTTCCCTGCTGGCAGGTTCGTCCCCATGAGTGACAACTCTACAAGTTCCATGTTGTGGTCGCCTCAGTTGCAGCTTTTGCTTCGCACCTCACCAAGTTGCACAGAATTGAGTCGCAAGCTTCAGGGTGTCCTCCGACCGACTGGCAAAGGGGACCGGATGCCAAAGCAGCCACCCGTCAGGAGCTTGAAAAGCAAGGGGGAAACCATGTAATTTTCAGCCAGCATAGTATCAGTTGAGACACGTGTTGATGAGGCCATTGCCTCTAGATCGCGGAGGCGAGAAGGAAGGTGCGAGTGGGCAGGCCCTTGCAGGGCTGCTTGAAAGTACCTGAAAAGAAGCACTTTCAAGACTTCAAGACCAACACATGTGAGCCCGGAGCGAGTCGATACTGTCAAGGAGCCCGAGCCGGAATCGCGAGCTCTGAGCTGCTCTCCACAGCTGCTTCCCCGCAAGGGCCCAGGCCGTCCATCCCGCCGGCAAGGCTCGGGCAGAAGGCGCCCCTCCAAGATCCTCCGTTCATCTTATGTTGAACATTGTTGAACACTTTCATTGCCAGTGGCTAAAGGCTATGCTAGTTCTGTTGTGCTAGTTATTTTTAACCGGATCTTAGCAGCTGCCTGTCTTGTGCTGGACTTGGCCCTCGACCACTACGATTATCGGAAGTCTGGTGATGTTTGATGTTGAAAGGCCCTGCGCGACCGCACCCGCATCACCTGCCCTTACCCTTACCACAGGCAGGCCCGCTTAGCTCCTTCCTGGTTGAGGTGTTTGTCCACGACGGATCACTAGCTTGTTGGCAAAGGTGGGAGGCAACCGGGGCCTGTAGGGCCCTGTAGCCGTGGCAGTGAGGAGGCCTCTCACATGCTTATGACACATCGAAATGCTTACAATCCAGTGCAGCATGTCGCATTCATGTATCAGTGCTCGAGGTCTCCACCCTGGTCATCAAGAACCTGGCCTTAGACTTCCGCAAGGACCTCCCTTCGCATGTGGTCTGGAGCAATTTGCTGCTTTGCCTTTTGGTTTGAAGCGCCTGTGCTCCAAATTGCAAAGACGCCACATGATGCAACAGCTCCAGGGTCCGTCTTCGGTTAGACAGTCATGGGTCTAGTCTAGTGGCTTGGCGTTTGATTGTAATAAGTCGTTTGTTTTGCTTGCTGCAGGCACTGCCTCTACAGAAGTCCCACAAGTTCCCATGAAGCGAGTCTCAGCACCAGCCAAATTCCATGGATTGTAGCTTTTTTTAGCGATTTTTAGCCCTGACTAACGAGACGATGTGCATAGTAACCGATGGCGCATTACCCAGGTTTCCAGCTGCAAGATTTTGAAACGGTTTGATGCGCCTGCTGACCCTGCAGTCACCCGCAGCAGTGGACATGGCATTCTAGGTGGGGGAAAGTCTGTTGTTGTTCAGGAGGATGTGGAAGCATTTCTGCAGAACATGTGCGTTGAGGCTGCAGAGGTGCGCACGAAGTGGAGTTTGTCGAAGCTTGTTGCGTTGTAAGTCCAGCATGTCTAGCCCTGACTTGCAGGTTGAGATGCACTTGGACCCCGCAAGTGGATCTTTTCGAGGTACGCTGAGAAGGGGACTTGGAAGGGAAGGGGTTCCGAGAGCCGAGAGCTGAAAAGTTGGTTTGAGCCGACATTTTGAGGCTCAAGGATTGGCTGAGTTGTGTGTTCTTGCTTTTTGGCGTTCTCTCTCAGATTCTCAAACTGCATTTTTCCGGGCCATCGGGAGATCCGCGGAGATGTGTTCTGTTTTCGAGCATCCCTCACCAACGTCAGTGCATGGAGTCGCCGTAGTGTCTGCGACGCAGTCACTGGAATGAGACGCCGCGACGCTCTCGAAAACTTAGATGCCCACACCACACCATTTTTTGGCGCAAGCTGTGCTAAGTGAAGTGTACACACAGAGAGCAAACGTTCAGGATGGCCTCAGAGCCTCATCTCAGCCATAGGTCAGCATGCTTGCTCTGGGCCAATGCAGTAGGGGCGATGGGGTTTCCATGGGTTTCAATTTAAGAAACTTTGAAGTGAAAGCTGACTTTGGCTCATACGCCAATCTCGGCAGCCAGGGTGGCCACCCTGAACCCCATTGAGTTCAACTTTGCCTTTCATGCTACTGCATGGAGCAGGAATGCACCCCTGGGCGGTGTGCAAAAAGCTCGGGTTCGGTGGGGACCATGACACTTAGCATTTGCCGAATATTGATGCAAGCACGCGACCAAGCAAACTTTCGTCTGGTCAGAAGGCGGTTCGGAACACATCCTCAGCTGCGCTTTCTTCTGCTGTCGCATGCTGTGGCATTGCAGGCACTGTCTTCGTCCGGTACGCCTCCCCCGCAAAGGCAGCGTGCGTCAATGGTGCCGAGTTGTCTCGAAAGTAGGGGGGAGCCAAGAGACGTAAAACGCAGGCACGGGAGGCTTTGCAGAGGCTAGGGCCCGCTCCAGACATCGGCGGAAGAAAGGCAGACGTAGCATCATTGCTGTCCAGACTTGCCCTAACATGATGTTGTGGTGTGCATTTCCGATATCTTGGGCAGGCGAGAGTGGAGGTTCAGAAGTCAAAAAACCTCTTCGGCCGACGGAATGCAGGAGGTGAGTTGCCACAGGACCAGTCTGGTGCCCGCAACATGCGCCCGTGTTCATGAGAACAGCCGCCTTTTGCAGGAGTTAGCCTTGGTGCAACAGGAAATAGATTTCTTTCTGCACGGCTTTGAGACAGAGGCCGATACAGCAAGACCCATTATGCACATGGTTGAAAGTTGACCTCCTAACATGCCTCTGTCTTCGTGCGTGCAATGAGAGACAGCATGCAGCATGCAGATGCATGCAGATGCTTGGCAGTGTGTGCGGTGCGGAGGAGGGTAGCTAGTGCAGAGCCATGCCGGGAGTGTTGGATCTGGCAGAGTCCAGCCAAAACGGTTCGGAACCCTCGCTGCTCACTACACAGAAGATCGACGAGAATGTGGCAAGCCAGGACTGTGGGCCTGAAGCAGAGGTCTTCTTTACGCCTGGGAAGCGGCGTGAGAACAAGTTGGCAAAACGGGCGAAGGCAGAGGCGAAGCGTAAGGCAAAAGCCGAAAGCCAAAAACATCACACGGGATTTGCGCCCAAGTACTCTTTGTTTCTCTTCAAGTGTTTGTATGTACAAACATAACCCCACCAAAACCTGACAAAAACGCAACAAAACCTGACAAAAACACAACAAAACCTGACAAAAGCCCAACAAAACCTGACAAATGCATCATCTGAAAAAACACATAATCGCCATCAGTGAAGGCAATTTCTCGTCGCGCAAATCACACTGAGGGTGCTTTCACAAATCGGACATCGGGTGTGCAAACCTGGGCAAGCAGTGTTCGGAGCACTACAGCCTGACATTTTCCCACTGCAGCCTGACCTTTTCCCACCCTTTCATTGATAACTACATCCTCACATTTTGTGGCCTCAACCTGACCTGACCTAACATTTCCCACCCTTTCCCCACTACAACCTGATACTTTCCCACTAAAACCTTTTCCCACTAAAATCTGACATTTTCCCACTAAAACCTGACATTTTCCCACTTTTCGGTCGTGCCTCAGGCACACCAAGATAAACATAGACTTGAGTTTAAAGAGGAACGAAATGCTGCCCTTTTTTCGAGCACTCCCACTTTTCGGCCGGGTGGATGAGCAAGCAGCATAGGCCATGGAGATCGAAGAGCCAATCCAGACTGCTGGGTTTAGGGTTTAGGTTTGACGACACCAACGAAATCCCAAAACTACCTTGGGAGGGAATATGTCAGGTTTTTCCGGTTTGTGACAACCCGTTCTTTCATGTGAAGAGTACCCTTTTTGAAAGGCACAACACGAACATCTAAGACTTACTAACGTGAAGAAAGGCATTCCCCAAGCAGAAGCCACGGCTTTCTTTCTTGCATGGAAGAAAGACAAGTCCTTGTACAGCTTCCAAAAGCTTCTGAGACAGAAGGATGTCTGTTTTGTTGTCTCGCGCACGAAAGTTATTGCGACAGCTTTGCAACTGTCTCTCCTAAAATCCTAGCCCCTGCCATATGAATCAATGCTGGCAGGTTTGCCTGTCTGCTACCTTCGATGCGCATCAGCGCAAGTGACCTTGAAAAGTCTGGAGGGTTTCATGATGTGGTGGGTTGTCACGGGCGATCTGTGTCAGACTGGTTCGGCAGGTATGCCCACTCTCTGGCAGAAAGGCACAATCTTGTGCATGCCACAAGGCAA